ATTGTTGCTGGTGTTTCGTCTGTTTAGTGGAGACCGGCCAGCCATAAGACCGCGACTCGACGCTGTTGGCGTCTGCTCCAGTCTTGCTGTCAGCTGAAGTGTTCATCTTGCATTCGACCGATCGCACCAGCATTCGGTAAATCGATAGATCAGACGTGATTGTCACGTTCCCTTCATGCTCGGGTCGAGTGTACGGGGTGGTCTGGCCACACAGAAAGGAGAGGATGGAGACGATCGGCGGCGAGAAAAACGCAATACTATTGGTATTGTTACCCCCCAAATACCGTTATTTGTGACAGTCTGCAGCGAACTTCCGGCATCCGGGCGCGCCAAGACGGTTTATTTCGGTTTAGCTGTTGTTCATCCTTAACTCCCATTGGATGAGCGCCTCAAGAGATTCATGTGTATTATTATATAATCAATATCTGTACCAGCACAAAACACCCTGTGACACCAAGTGGGCATTCTCTCCTCGAGGTCCGCCACACGTTCCCCAGCCCTTCTCGGATAGGGCGAATGGGCCCCTTCCATGGCCCTGATATCGGGTTCAAGACTTTCCGAGCAGAAAGTTGTGCGTGTATCAGATTGGTTTGAAGGCGGGACCCCTAACTTTCAAACAATCATCTTGTCAATAAAACAAAAACCAAAAAAAGAAAAAGCGTTTTTGTGCTACTGTGGAGGCAAAATGATCACCTCAATCTAACATCCTTCGTCCAGGGTCCAGACTGGGTATCTCAGCTTAGACAAGGGGAAAAGTCCTCTTCGGTTGCTTGGTGATCTGAAGAGTCATTCCTTAAAGGGGCTCCCACTCAACGCAATTTTCCCCGCTGTCTTCCCTTATCAACCCGAGTTCCCAGGCTAAGCTAACCCCCTGCTCCACTGTCCCTGGTGGATTTCTATCATGTCCAAGGCCGACAATGAATGGGCCACCCAGTACCAGCAGGGGCATGGACTCTTTCATCCCAAGTAATCCCACCTCTAGCCAACAAGACTCTTATCCTTTAGATTCAAGTAAGGAAGATGGCAGAAAGAGCACGCGGCGAAAGGTGGGGGTCCAACATATTCAACTAAGACTGCCATCACACTAATAAAGGTATAACTAGGCTTGTGATACCTGTCAGCGCAGGAAAGTAAAATGCGATCTCTCCAACAAACCCAAGTGCTCGCAATGCGAGAAGATGGGGATCGCTTGTACCAGGAATCTGCAGAGATACCAGGCAAACTTACGAAGGTCCGGCTCATCACTCTACAAAGAATTGATGGAACCGAATAGGGGCTGACTCGCTCGGTAAAGGCAGGCGATGATCAATCATCTGGAAGGAAGTCTTGAGCGCATGGAGTCTCGTCTCCAGGACCTTGGTTTCACCGTGGGCGAAAATGATACCATAATTGGTCCTTCGTCGTCGGAGTTAGTTGGTGATATTTCACCATTGAGGTTATCATCCAGTCCGACGGATCGTAGCCCGGTGGCTGAGGATGCCGATGATGCAGATTGGGGTAACATCTACACGAGCCCGCCCCCAGGGTCGACCCATCCCACAGCAAGCAGATCGCCAAGCCCTCATATACCAAATATGTTTGGGCAACCAACTCAGCCACAAGCGGCAATACCATGCTTTAACGTTCCGAGATATCTTGGGGGTATACTGAACTCAGGATGTAAGCTGAACCGAGGACTTTCTTTCATACTCTCCAAGTCTAATGTCATTTCAGGCTTTTCGATGATCTCGCGAGAGGGGCTAGAATGGATAGCAGAGAAGACTGGCGGCGAATCCCTTGATCATTTAACACGTCTTGTCTTAACAGAGGAGCGTGATGGTTTCATGGCTGATTATCCACTCCATTGCATATCTCCCAGGAGAGTATTCTGCCCTCTCCCGCCCCAAGAGCATATCGTACGTCTTGTGGAAAGGTATCTGGACGACTTCAATGTCACAATCCCTTTATTCAGGCGGTCGGACCTTATCCTTCTCTTTGAAAAAGCACATCTTGATATGCGCTGTCAGAGTCCAGGTCAATGGGCTATTATGAATGCGGTCCTAGCAGTTGCCTACATGCTTCCGGATAATGGGGTTTCCAAGCAACCAGATCATCAGAAAAGCTGGCTCCTTCTGAAGAATGCTCTGGAGGCTGTCAACGAGCTTTATCTGGGTCCACCGGATCTGCGGGGTCTTCAGGCTCTTTTAGTGATGGTATGCTCCTAGTCTTCGATATCCTCGGAGAGCTAACGTTGATGTTCATCTAGGTTGTTCTCTTTATGGCGGCATCGGCTGCACGCCCTTGCAACTTTTTGATCTCCGTCGCTATCCATATTAGCGACCAGTTAGGCTTGGGAACAACCGAAGGCATCTCGATATTCACCGATGAAGAGAAACAGGATCGGCAGACAGTCTTTTGGCTTGCTTACTGTCTCGATAGAGAGTATGCCCTTACATCTTCCAGCCTTCCTACCGTACGCCCCAGCTGACATAGCCAGGATCTCCTTTCGATTCGGTGAACCTCCGGTGCAAAATGACGAAGCGATCAGCGCAGCTCTGCCAAAAGACGCACCGGGTTTTCTCGTCTACTCCTTACCAAGAACGGACCAGGCGGGGAGCTTCAGCGCCTTCGCATCAGCCTGCAAACTTGCACAGATCAGGGGCGAAATCTACCAGCGCCTCTACTCCGCTTCAGCTGCGGATAGGCCGTTCCATCAGATCCTCGCCGCGGTCGGAGATCTGGATGGGAAATTACAAGCGTGGAAAGATAGTCTGCCATCTGAATTCCAGCCCGAATCACCAACACACTTCCATTTCCGCCAGACCCCAATGTCCATCGTCCTCCTACACATGCACAACACATACCACAACTGCATGATCGCCATTCATTCCTTAATTGCCGCACGCGGCATCAATTCCGCTCAGGATCTATCCGACCATCCTGGATATACCATTAACCCCGATTCTCTATCCAATCCTAGGGTTCTGCTATCAGCGTCCCTGACCTCTAAGGCTGCGCGTGCTTCGATCGGCTTGATGAAGTATCTCCCGAAGGATGACATCTCCCTTGGGTACGTTCAACTTGATTTGTCGACCGACATTTTTCACTAATATTCACGTACTAGGTTAACGATGTATTTCCCCACCGTTGCATTAAAAACACTAGCCTCGAGTATCGTTCGCAATCCCCGCGACACTGGCCAGATCTACAATATGAGGATTCTCGATCAGGCGGAGGCTTTTCTATCTTCGACGTCTGCAGGCACTACTAGCGAAGGGATGAAGCGGTTGGTGAAGAATTGCGCCGAGTTTCGCTCGCTCGCTGAGAGGGCAATGAAGGAATGTGTCTGAGGGTGCTCGGGGAGATCCTCGGCAGTACTATTCTTGCTATCTTGCCCCGGTCGCATCTAATTGCCAGTGTACTGTTAATGATACCCGGTTGAATTCGGAGATTTAAAAGAACTGCACGGGCGAATTATAGAGAGGAATGACTGGCAATGAAAGACATACAGCCTGGAATGTCAGGCGGGAACCATGAAATTCTTGGACCCTGCATATAAAGGCATTGCTGGTTACAACTACATTTCTGCTTACAAAGTAGATAGAAGCATAGTCCTAGGGAAACCAAAGAAGGGGGGAAAAAAACAAGAAAAGGAAAGAAGAGTCAAATATTATTAAATAAGTGACAGTGAAATCCACCACCAATCCAAATGGTGTCTTGACCAACACATAGGGTGAAGGAAGAAAAAATGTATGACAAGAGTGGGATTCGAACCCACGCCATCTTACGATGATCAGGAAGCTGTGAAGCTGGGTATTAAGGTGGACCTTAACCTGACGCCTTGGACCAACTCGGCCATCTTGCCTTGAGATGTTGAATGGTGTCTATTTAGAGCTATATGAATGTGATAGAAGTATAACTTCCCGAGTCGGTGTCGTTGTTTCCGCTGATGCCAAAGCAAGTTCCCGCCAGTAGTAACCTCACGACAACCTCAGTATTAGTCTCCTTCGTAATCACAATGAACAAGAGAATATTGGGTTGGCTCATTTATTATTTAATGATTAGCTTAGGTCAAACCGTTTACCATATACTGACTGATTCTCGATGATGCCGCTTTCAACCTAAATCCAGTACGATGATAACATGAAGCTTGAAATATATATTTCTATTGGTGACCTCTACCATCAAAGTCATGCTAAATGCGCGACTTCGGCACACCCCCTTGATGTAGCTAGTGAGTAGAACAGATCCGATGAGATATCTCAGAGAGGCTCAAGCAAATTGACACTCTTGAAGATGACTTCGCGAAGTCCTACCACTCCCTGCATGTACATATCGGTTGATCAGACGTATTGACCGTACCATGCGATACCAAATAGGCCCAATCAGGGCATCGCAACTTGCCCGCAACCAGATTAGCGGGGTAATATATACACCACAGGAGGAAGAATAATACAGCAGGTAAGCACAGCACATGTGCAAACACCACAACAATATACAGCAGTCAAAGATACTATTATATGTTGCTGAGATTCCTCTGTGCATAATCTGCAATGTTTCCTACTCATTTATCATTCTGCTGCAGCAACCTTGTCCCCTCCCACGGTCGCAACTGCCATTAACCCCAATTATGTACCCAACAAATATGTAACAACTACTTTCTATTCCTCCTCTGCTCCGCTGGCTGACTCGGATCCGACTTAATCCGAGCATCCGTGGAAGTATGTTCCTACTTTCCTCGCCCTCATGAGCCTCACTGGTGGGTCCACGCTGGGCGGAACAGGCGACTGCACGGATCAGGTATCTGCCGCGTCGGAATGGCGCGCTTTCTTGCGGCGCAAGATATAGACTCCCTGTGACTCGGGTGGCTGGATAAGGTTTGTTACGTTGGAGGAGTGGCCATAATGTAGTCAGACACTTGGCCCCTTAGGTGTCCACTTCTAGATCAATCATCACTGGATGTATATTGCAGTAACCTCCGGACGAAGAACAACAAACACTCCCTGCCATGAGCATAGAGCCTAGCCCCTCACTACACGACCATTTTCCATCTCAATTACCCGGTCTGCATCCTTCACCATATCAGGCCGGTGCGATACATGGAGAACCGTATATCGACCAAACACATCGTCGATAACCTTCTGCATCAGCGCGTCAGTGACAGCATCCGTCCCACTTGTTGCTTCGTCGAGAATCAATATGCCGCCACAATTGCAACCATCATAGTCGCGATTCCATTTCCGCACCAGGGCGACTGCTAATGCAAACAGTCTTTGCTCGCCTTGGGATAAGGAGGTCGATGTCAATTCCGCATCCAGTCCACCACGAGATGTGGTCAGAGAAAGCAGGTTAGTCTTCTCTAATGCTGAGATCAAAATCGTGTCTGTAGAGCGACTAGTCGGGTCCAGGTTGAAGCGGATAGATCCAGGAAGTAGGAAAGTGTCCTGGGGAATAGCGATGATATGGGTTCGAAGCACATCTAGTGGAATGGTGGAGATGTCTATCCAGTCAATTGTAATCGTGCCGCTTTGGGATTCAAGGAGCCGGAGAAGGGCCGAGACCAGTGTGCTCTTCCCGCTTGGTTCAAGGTCAGTGGAAGGTATAAATCGTACGTTTTCGGTACTCACCTGCCAGTCCGTCCACATACAACCACTTTCTCTCCAGGATGTATGGTCAAATTTACATCGTCTAACGCACGCGTGACGCCACTGTTGAGTCAATTAGTAAATGCTTCTATCGTTGGCCGGAGGGTACTCACTCATATGAGGCAGAAAGAGAGGTGATCTCAATCTTTCCGTCAACTGGCCAAGTCGATGAAGGGATCACTGGTTTCGGGGGTTGATGCTCAGCGGGTGTTTTCATCTCAAAAGATCTTGTCCGTGCTATTGCGCCAAGGGATGTTTCCAGGCCAGTCCAGCTAGTCACAACTTCCTGAAGGGTCTGGCTGAACGCCATGATTGCAGTCAAGGAGACTCCCAGCTTCCCCGGATCGGTCGAGCTCCGTAGAGATGTTGCCAGGGCAATTAGTATGACAGCCAAGCAAGCAACAAGAAGATCGAGAACAACATTGAGCCATCGCTGGATACAATATAGAAGGTAGTATGGTTTTTGAGAAGCGTCAAGCCGGCGCAAGCACTCTGCTACAAATGATCGTTGCCATCCAAGGCCGCGAATTGTAGAAATTCCGTCAAGAGTCTCTACGAACATTGTATACAATGGGCTTTTGGCTTCCAGATCGAGGAACCGGAGCTGTCTGGAGGTCCGCAAATAGACTTTCTGCGCGCAGTATAATACCAGTAAGCATGGGATGATTGTCAGTGCCATATAGCTAGAGCCCAGCGAAATCAAGGCAACTTGAGCGAAGCACTGTGCAATACCTGCGAATGAATTAGTGTTTGGTCGTAGTAGTATCTGGTGAACCTACTCAGGACTGTGCCAAAAGCCATTGTGGGCAGTACAGCGTCGACAAGGGTCATGTCCTGGCTGAACCTGTTGAGGATGACACCAGAATCAACCTCGGCGAAGAAATGCATCGGTGCATTTATTACGGTTTGCACAAGGATTTTGTGTAGTCCCAATCCTGACGTGATGACAATCTTGATCATGATTTGCCTGACTCGACGGTTAGCCTAGCATACAAGGCATGTCAAAAGCCTACCATATCATTAGCCCTTGTGATCCTGACGCAGCTACGGCAAGTAGGACGTAGACACCAATGAACTGGGCGGCCTTATTTCCATGGTCATCCGTAAATAACTCCAACCATATCTCTACAAACTCATTAGCCTAGTCGAAAGGCCGCTCAGAATTGTACTTACGAGGGAATACAGAGGAGAATGTGTGCACAATAATAATTGTGCAGGCAACCAGCGTGTGGCGCCATCCGATAGCCTTCAGGTAATAGGTGTAGACTGCAGTATCCCCCATACGACGGGATATATCGGCTATGTCATCGACAGTAAGGGTTTCAACTTTCTTTGTGGATGAATCCTCTCCGCTGTTAGTGAGGGCAGTTGGGGTCTCTGGAATAGCGTCCGTAGTGTCAGGATATGCATGCGAGGCGAAGCCTAAGCTCCGCATGGGGCCTTGCTTTTCGATCTGCCCATTAGAATCTAATATGACAATGTTATCTGCGAAGCGGAGATGCTGATCTAAATGAAGTTTCAGTTATGGCTGCAAAAACTTTTCATCGGACTATACTGACCCAAATGAGTTGCCATCATTACAGCCATACCTATTCGCCTGCATACTCCGTTATCGCCAAATAAAGCCTCTGCGACATACCGTGCGGTCTTGTTGTCAACGGCACTTAACGCATCGTCCAGCACGAGAAGTACTTTTCTAGAGTAGATAGCCCGAGCCAGTGCCTACAATAATGTTAGTAACGTGACATTGACGACTGCGGTGACATACCAGACGCTGCTTCTGTCCCCCACTTAGCTTGAGAGCCCCGCTACCGACCACGGACTGATCACCCCCCGGCATTCGAGAGATGTCCTCTTGTAATGCACATGTCCTCAGTACCTCATTATACCAGGTATAATCTATCTCAGAATATCCACAGATGTTGTTGCGGATAGAGGTGTTCTGGAGCCAGGGAACTTGACTGCAGTAAGCCGCGTCTGGCCGCGTTCGTGTAACAGTTCCTTGTTCACATGGTATCTCCCCTACGGCCGCTTTTAACAGAGTCGACTTCCCAGATCCGACCGGGCCAGTAATCATTGTTACTGTACCCGTCTTGATGGCTAGATCGATGCCCTCAAGAGAAAACGCGGACCCCGTGGCTGGACGGATATATGCATCCGTCATGGTAAGAGCAACATGGTCGGACGCCTTCGGCGCCAATACTTTTAATTCTACCGCCGATCCATTTCCAGTAAAGGTATCTGGATCAGTGCCATGATCCTCCTCAGTTGGTGAGTAATCCATGGGTGAAGTGAGGAATTTGTGAATGCGATCGAAAGCACCCAAAGCGGCAGTTATCGCCGGGATGGATGCCAGTAACTGTAGCGCAGGGCTCGTGATAAGGCTAATGATTGCAAGGGATGTAAACGCTTGTACGGTCGACAGTGTCTCCGAATGATCAATTTTTGCGCGAATAACGAAAGCCGCAAACGTGACGAGAGAGGCACACATCTGAGGCAAACTCGCTTTATACTGTCAGGTCACTTGGTTTGACACCGGCATAGAGTGGCATACTTACCAACCACGTTCAGCCACACGATCAGCCATCGAAAGTCCCTGGATAAGTCTAGTTCACGCTCTCGTTGCTTCTGAAGAGAGTTGGCCAGCACTTCAGATAGACCGAGCATCTTGACACTCTTCATCGATTTTAGCGCCGTGGAGATTATGCTGACTCTCCGTTGGATTGCACCAACCCAGACTTTCTGCCTGGCAGGCATAAACGTAGCCATATACATTTGGATTGATGTGCACACTATGGTGATTTAGTAAAGAAATAGGTTAGGTGAAGGAAGACCTACCCAGAATCACCAGAATTGGGGCTACACAAACAGCAGCGAGTTGCCGCTCTAGCAGCCAGATACCGATAGCGATCTCCACCACGCGGGCCCACAGCTCGCTCGCCTGCTCCAGAGACCGCGCGATCATGTCGATGTCAGTACTCATTAGCGTAACCGCAGCCGTTTCATCGCGGGTTCCATCTGGAAGAATCATAGTGTGGTCATAGATCAAGGCAACAGTTGCGCCGCGGAACATCGTGATCATACGAAATAATTGATGTTTGTAATGCACCGTTGATATCTAATTCTGTCAGCTCTGTCTGAGAAGTTCAGTAAGTGATACGTCTGCATACTGCAATCCCGCCATAAATGAGCGCCGCGGCCCCAATCAATCCGTAACCCTCGTTTCTGGTTAGCTGCGTATCTGGCATATGTAGATGTTCCATGGCACGCTGGATGAAGAATGTCTGAGCATAGCTGAATCCGATGAGGCAGAGCCTTGGGAAAATAGTACGAAGTACTGCCCAACGCAGACTGATGAAGGTCGCAAAAATTAGGCTACGTGTTTGGCTGGACTGATACTTTTTCCAGGCCCTTCCGATCTTTCGCCTCAGGCCTCCCGAGCTCAGGTCTTTGTCCGTCGGAAATAGATCCTCGAGTGTCAACAGCTTCCGGAAACCGCTAACAAATAGACGGTTCAGCCACCAGAAAACAGTGCGAGCAATTACTCCACTGGTAGACTCGGGTGGTATGGCACGAAGTGGTTCTTTCAGATAGCTGCGTTTATTTCGGGTTTCCAGAGCCAGTAGAAGGAGCTTCAGTGCAACAGTTGCTGCAGAAAGGGCCCCCAAAGTAGATGGGTAATGTCGGATAAACAATGTGCGCACTTGCACAGTGTCGAAGAGGGTTGACAAGAGGAGATATATGCTCAATAGCGACGATGGGCGTACTGAGCGATCGTGCTCGACAGTCGATAGGATAGCTATCGAGAGAGCATCCACCAGCGACAAGGCGACAGCAGGAATGGCAGTCCGGACTAGGTCATGGCGCGCCCATTCGACCACTGAGGCGATCTGTAGAGCGACAAGGCAAACTGCGACGGCCTTTACTTGGTCAGTCCGGCTACTAGCAAAGTCTCATGGAAAAGTATAGGGGCCCCACTGACCAGTTTCTGCCAATGGGCGCTGTTTGCAACGGTTTTGACATTCTCTGGGTAGAGCGACCAGATTCGCCACGGAACCAGGAGGAGAAATATAGCGGATGGGCCAATGGAGAGGATACTTTGCTCGAAGAGCAGAGTGAAGTCAAATGTTGCTGGACACGCGACGACGGGTCCGAACGAGTCATCCGCGGCGGAGGAGCAGCTACCCGCCATGATGGAGTGAGGAGGGAAGCATACAGAAATGGTAGATGATGTAGATGAAAGTATGTCAACCACGCGATCTCTGAGGTAGCGAGAGGAAGGAGAAATGCATGGTGATGAGACACTTGTGGAGAAGAAATAGGAGGACAAGAGGCGCGATAAGATTGAGCTTGTGATGGCTCGTGACTGACCAGGGACCCCGGTCTGGTGCGTCAGCGCATGGCAGCCTGGAGGCGGCCTGAAGCGCTCCCTTTGTTCTCTGCTATGCTGGCGTTTTGTTGTTAACGTTCGTCCACCAGATGAGCTTGAATGTAGTAAGCTTTTAGTTCTTGCTACGATTCTGACAACTTCCGAGTCTTATCTCGATGCAGAACTGCGATCGGAATTTGCCTACAAAACAAAACTTTCCTGGCTTGTTTTCTTCGGGATTCCCAATTTGGGTGAAGCCGAGAGGTGCTTCCAGCAACGCATCTTAATTGCAGTGCATTTCATCGATGCTATGGCTGCCTTGTTACTCTGCAATATACAAGGCAAAGGACCATAGATTGCGATGTACGAGAGTTCAGCTGCTCTGTTGCTTTATTATAGCATGTCTTTTGACAGCGTCCAGCTATGCTCTATCCAAATCCCAACCACTAGTTTCGTTCAGCTTGGTACGGCTCCGGCATCAAACAATCACCCTGACAGGTAGTTTCCTCATTCAGAGGAAACTCACTATTCTCAACAGTATCCTCCACTAGAGAAAGGTCAACTGGATTGCTCCCACTGTCTCGAATAGCCCTCCATAACGGCTCCGGGTCCCTGCACTGATGCGTATATCCAATCCCATCGATAACGAGGATCCGGTTCCCATCCTTATTAATCGCTGGATGAGGTGGCTCAATAGTATCATCTGCTGCACAGATAATGGCCTTTTTATCATCAGAACCCTCGAACCTATACCAGCCCAAAAGGAGCACTTGACTCACCTGGGCAATATAATCGAAGCAATGAGCCCAGTGCACTGCATCCTCGTGGTCATCACCTGAATGGGACGGCGAGGTCGAAGCACCGTGATGCTGAGAAGATTCAGGGAAAATCAGCCCCCGAAGGACGGTTAGACAATGAAGCTGGTGGAACATGGAGATGCCGTAGTCGGTGATGGTGTTGTTGTCTGTCCGGACCTTCAGGATACCACCATTCTGAGGGAGGAGGAGAGATTCCCATGAGCGGTCTGTATCATGAGGTAGAGCGGCACTGGCCTGCGTTCCCAGTAATGGAGTCAATGACTGGAACTTTCGAGTGATTGGAGGTGTACGGCGAGAGGACTCGCTTGGGCAGACATGGATTTGGAACTTCTGCGAGAGACTGACTAAGCTGCCAGTAGAACTGAATATAATACCGATGGTTGAGAAGAGGAGAAAGATAAGTGTTGCAAGTATGCTATAGAGGAAGCGTGTCTGTGTGGGCATGTTGGGTCTTTCCACCTTCAATTGTTAGGGAGAGCGACGGAGAATCATCTCACAACAAAAACTGCTGAGACTGACATACCAAGTAAGATGCAGTGGACGACAGTCTCCCATGCATTAGACCTCACCCGTATGTTGATGGCCTCGGCTAAGCTTCACAGGTGGTCTCGTGCATGGTGCGGTTACATCGCATGATCAATTTTGTGGGAGCGCACATTGTAACACCCAGAGAAGGACCAATTGATACTAACATGCCAGCTTAGAAAACTGGGATGCATACAAGGGGGCTTGCATCGCCATAACATTTCCGTGTTGTGATTGACCAATCAATATCTACATAGTGTCTTATCAACTGCTTGGTGGCGCCTGCAGGGATGGATGATCAAGCATGCTTAGCACCAACGCTTGACAACTCACACGCCATCCACAGTCTAACCCCGCTCTCAGCCCTTCCCCGGGTAAGCAGCCGATCATCAACATGATGCTACCATCCAAGTACTCGAACACACTAGCCTTGATTATCCAATAACTCCACTGTCCGAGCCATCATCCGGATTGGACTTGTACCAACCAAACAGCTCCTTGAATCGATGCGACATGACCCGAGCCTCTGCTTCGGGGGGTTTTCTAATGGCTGCAAATTCATCCACATCCACCGAGTTCTCCTCCTGCCAGCGCAAAATGGTGTCAAAATCACGACATTTGTGATTCACGCTAAAATCGGGGAAAGCGTTCAGCTGCGCATCCGCCCAATAATGGGTATAGATGTCGACATTAGCGTTGCACATCAGGTTCTGGAGCAGCAGGTAGGTGCAGTGGGAGATATGCGTCTGATGCATGTCAGAGGGCGGGGTTCCCGGCGGCCACTTCTTGCCATAGTAGTGGTCAAAGTATGCTTCGCGCCGCAGCCAATCCAGACAATGGATCTGGTGGAAGACATCGAGTCGTCCAATGTATGCTTCAGACCCAAAGCCAAAGCTTTCGGGCCATTTGGCTGCCTGCTCAGGATCCCTGCCCAGCTTGACCACGTCATCGCGACTGATGGCAATGGGGTTGATGTTCGCCAGTCGATTCCAGGCTGCGTCGACCTCGGGGCTAGGGGGTTGGCGATAGATGGGGAGGGGGTCTGGCTCCAACAGTGTTGCATTCATCTTCTGGCTGATGAGGGGTATCTCAAGGTGATCGAACACAGGAGCTGCAACTGGTCAGCAAACTGAGAAGACGCTCGTCGTCAGTCACACTCACAGTACTCGGAGGTTTTTCGTAGGAGATGGTTTGCGTCACCAGTGCTCCGGAAAATGCAGACAGTAATGACGAAAAGAAACAGCGACAGTGCGAAAACAGTAGCATTGAGCCAGAGGAGCAATTTCTGTCGTCTACTGAAGTGTTCAGACGGCCGGGGTGCTTGTTTCAAGAGAGATACATCCTCCTCGCTTTGTGTATCTCCGGAGATGCTGTAGGCAACATCGTCGTTGTCTCTGGTTCCTAGAGGTTCGTATGATGGAGATACGGCCGGCTTCATCTTCACCATTGTCTGTCAGACTTGAGCAAGATGATCTGGAAAAGAATAGGCAGTGTTCGGTTCAAGGAGATCAAATATCCTCGCTCCGCGCAATATGGTCAGCTGAACTGCGCAACATCCCTGGTAAGTTTAGGATGCATCGAATGTCTGCCAAGTACGCATTAGTGCTTGTGAACTGTCGCCACCGCACATGCCATCCAGCATGGCGTTGACACCTGCTTTCCTGTTTGAACCAGGCGCAGATGCTTGCTGCCGTCACAGTCGCACTGACACGAAAGGATCGCACACTTTGGTTGTGTAGCTGTTTCACCCCGCCTGATCACGGGCGACTGTGTAGGGGTGGTGCGAACAGAGTGGCCGATGCCCGAGGCCTCACATAAATAGGTTCCTTCTTCCTGCCCTTCTGCTTTGCTAGACCATCTTTTGTCCTACTCTAGACACTCCCACGACCTCCGTGAAGCGTATACAGCCCACGATGCAGTATTCTATCCTCCTCTCGGCCACCTACGGACTGTTGCTGAGCCATATGGCCACCTCTGCCCCGACAGCCAAGCGTATGCAAGCCCCGAATCAAACTTAGAATCGATGTGGTGTCCATGTAACTGACAAACTAGCAGCAGTGACCCTTCGCGTCAGGTCAGAGGACTTTCATGCTCTTCGGGAAAGAGCAGGCAATGAGGCCACGGCGCTGTATGGCTATATAGTCGCCGACACCGAGCTTGATGACAAAGAGAAGCGCGATGACGAGGCCACGGCGCTATACGCATACATTGCGGCCGACTCGGAGCTGGACAGGAAACGTGATGACAAGGCCACTGCATTGTATGCATACATTGCAGCTGACAGCGAGTAAACCGAAGAAATTACGCTGCGAGGCATGCTGCTGTGCCAGAGCACATGGTCTTATTTGTCAATCAGAATTGGCGTTACCTCTTGCGTAATCTATCAGATGATATGTCATACAGTGATCGTCTATATCACTTTCCTCTGAGTGCGGTACATGTGTCAGTCTATCGATGTAGTTTTGTGGGATGATAACCTGACCTACCTACAAGAATGTGCTTCATCCCAAGGTCTATCATCCCCACAAAATGTTCCACCTCGACCACTTGCTCCTCTGAATGGGTACATTATCCGGGTCATTGCGACACTCGAGCAGAGCCTGCTCCAGCGGCATCTCATAACTCGATACCATTTCTGTCTTGCGGTAGAACTTATAGCCCAGATAGAAAGCCAGTACGAGCGGAATGTCCCTACCACTCAGTTAGTACAACATCATCTATCGACACAGAATCCGACTCACAGATACGACGACACGAAGCTCGAAGCATCCCAATTGCCATGAGTAAACACCGTGAACCCGCCCGTGAACAAAACAACCACACACATCACCAGAGCAAACCAGGATGTATACACTGCTTTCATCAGCCACAATTAATGCCTGTAGAATATTCAAATAACTCACCAGACCACCAATGATGCCACGGCATCTCCGCCGTATCCAGTCCCTGCGCCCTGAACCCTCTCATCAGCCTAATATGATTCAACGCAATCGTCCCCCACGAAATCAACACCCCCGCCGCCGTCAAATCCAACAACCAATTGAAAACCGTATATGCCTCATTCTGACACGTAAGGTACGCCAACGCGGACACAGTAATCTGCGCCACCGCACAAGCATACGGCACACCGTGCCTCGTCGTGCGCAGAAACATCGCCGGTGCGTGACCCTTCAGCGCAAGACCATACAACGTGCGCGTTCCAGCCAGAATACTCTGATTTGACGCTGACCACGCAGACGTCAACACCACGGCATTGATAATAGAAGGCACTACTTTGATCCCCGCATCGGAAGCAGCAATGACGAACGGACTCTGCGCTGCCGTGCCGGATTCATTTCCCAGTCGGGGATCGTTACTAGGGACTATCATCCCCACGATCAGCACAGCCAAAAAGTAGAAGATGGTAACGCGCGCAAAGACGCGTTTACACGCGCGGGGGATATTCTGTCTTGGATTCGCCATTTCCGCTGCCGCTATGGTTAGACTTTCCACCCCGGAGAAGGAATAAACTGCGTTTGTCGTGACGGCCCAGAAACCGAGGAATCGGCCCCACGGGCCCGAGGCGATGTATTCCACGAACGGGCCGGGGTCTTTCCAGTAATGGAATCCGAGGCGCGGAGTACCCTTGACGCCGCCGAGGTCGATCACCAAGCCCATGAGGATGATGCCGATGATGAGGAGGATCTTGAGGATGGCGAAGACGAACTCAACTTCTCCGTAGACTCGGATGAAGAGGAACGAGACGATTGCCGAGATGACGATCAGGATCGTCACCCAGATAGCGGGATTGAGGGTGTCGTTCCAGTACTGGATTAGGACGACAGCTGCGGAGATCTCGCTGGGCACGGACATGAAGCAACCGTAGACGACGTTCCAGCCTATTGCGAACCCGAGAGCCGGATCGACGAGCAGCTCGACGTGTCGGACAAAAGAGCCGGTCACGGGCATCAGGGCTGACACTTCGCCTAGGGCGATTTGCACCGCGCAGACCACCAGGCCGATCAGTAGATAACCGAGTAGAGCGCCGAGCGGGCCACCGGTTTGGATCGAGCTGCCTAGACCAAGGAAGAGGCCGGTTCCCTGGTGGGATATTTATTCAGTACGTCGTACAAATATGAACATTTCAAATTGTAAAGCTGGGAATTGACGTACAATGGCGCCCGCGATGGCTATCATCTGGGTATGGCGCGCCTGCAACCCCCTGCGTAGATTCTGGGCCTCTTCATCGTGGACGATACGCGGTGTTCGGTCTCCGACTTTGGGGAGCGCAGGGCCTGGTTCGAGGGTGTGCGAGATGAAGACATCTGGGTCTTTTTGGGTGTTATGGATATCATCCATGGTGGGTTCTCAAAATTGAGGCCGATGCGATGGAGAAAAGCAAACAATTCAAGATAAGCTGAATGGTGGGGGAAATGGCGATCACTTTATGCTGGCGATACCGCATCAGTTTGAGTGGGTGTGATTGGGTCGATAAAGCGCACTCGGCGATGGCGACATTCCGGCGCCGCATGGGATTTTTCCTATCACTCATAACCCTCACCGATGGTTGATAGTTGATTCTGTGATTCTGTCGTCTCTTGTCCTCCACTATGGTGTTTTTGGCTCTATGTGGATATGGTGTCAGCCACTATGACTAACAAGCAATACTAAATGTTAACTATCGGGATTCCCGTCGCCCCATCACACTATATCTTCAGTCTTGGCGGCATGCACGTTTTCTTTTTCCGACTAGCAGATCCTGCACGCAGTCAGAAACTTCAGGAAGCTGCGTAATCGGAAAAGCAATTGCTAATTTCAACCCAGAATGAGCCATTGTATCCGACTGCGGTCGCGCAAATGGCTTTGCCACCTCTAGATAAGAATTGTCAGAGCCAAGCCTCTCCAATGTCGCAGGGATTCATATGAAATGCTAATGACCCCAATCTCACAGGGTGTCGGAGTTTGTATAACGGAGTGGTGAAACAAGTAGGCTTCCGTGTAACTCGTCACAACTTTCTGTCACAATTGTCAGGATAAGCACGAGGGTTGCCTGTAATCGCCAAGCCATGCAGGGTGCTAAAAATAACCTACACCAGGATCCAGAATGATGGGAGTCAACATTACGAGCAATGAGTTTTATTAGCAATAACAGACAAGCTCGGTCTTTTGTGTAGCATCAATTCTAAGCCATTATACATCATACGCCATAAGTCAATGAACATCAAATACCCTTCCGACCACCCGAACAACCGTTACTCCAGAGGGGCTTGTCACGTCCCGGACATTCCAAGATCGATCGTAGTCATCTAATTATTCCCCATGCTTTCTTTGCTCACTCGATGGCGAGCCCGAGATCTCCATCATCCCCCGCCAGATCTTCCACGGCCATCTCAGCCTCGGCGGCATCAGCAGCCTGCTTCATGGCGATCTGCTGCTCCTGCTCCTCCGGTGACAGGGCCGCGAACGCCGCCGTGTTGGCATCCCAGTCCGCCACACATTGCTTATTCCAGTTGCATTGTTCAACTTCGCCGTAGAGAGGGTGTTTGAAGCGCGGGTGGGTGTTGGGCCACCCCGACGCGTGGTAGTGGTGCTTGACCAGCGCCGATCGCGCATTGTGGTTACCCGAGTCCGAATGACCCTGGCCTGCAGCAAAGGCCTCCACTGTGAGCACTAGGATACCACCCACTAACTTTGACTCGGGGATGTCGTGAAACGTCTTCCAGGTCACTTCCTGGCCAGTGCGGGCGCTCATCTCAGCCAGTACAGCTTCCGTAAAGGCGGAGGGGCCGGTCCCACTAATGATATCGTCGAAGTCAAGCTCGAGATCGGAGATGGGCTTTCCCTGCTTGACGGAGTGATCGTGCAGCCATTCGAGAATGCGGTCCACCAGCCGCATCATGACTGGCTGGCGTGGCTTGCTGATAAAGGTCCATTGACAGAAGGATTGTGACTTAGGGCCCAGGATGGCATGGTCATTGAAGTCGGGTTCGTCAATCTCGACCCCAATTATCAGGTCCATGTCCGCTTCGTTGAAGCGTTCGGGTATGAAGCGTTCTAGCGGCCGCAGCGCTTCAACGTCAATATCGGCGTATACTCCACCGTCCACATACATCACGAGGTACCGGAGCAGATCGGCCTTGATGATCTTCGCGGTCAGGGAGCGGTAAGTCTCGACAATGTCTGGACGATTGAGGCCGTCAGGCCCGAAGTTTGTCTCGACATAATGTAGGTCATTTTGATCGGTCAGCACCTCGTAGCGGTAGCCTGGGTTAATGGAGGTCCAGGTACGGGCCACGTTCAGATCACGCTCTTCGAATTCGAAGGGATTGACCTTCCATGACTGCCATATCTTGCGGGGGAAGAGCCTGCACTTGCTCTGGCGTGCGAGGCCTCCGTGAAACTCGGCGAAGGTGCCTGTAAGTGAGAGATAGAAAACTAGACAGAAGACAGCCAGGAAGAGCGGCACCACCCGGCGAACCTGTCGTGGAAGACAGACCCCGGACATGGCGGGCATGGCAGGCATGGAAGGTATAGCAGGTATGGGAGTCTTCAACTGCATTGTGACGGACTGGCCCAACTGACCCATGAGGGGGAAGAGAGACGAGGGGTTCGGCGGACGAGCGAAGAAAACACACACTGCTGAGGGCCAGAATGTTTATGAGCCAGAGCGAGCCGGTCTGACCAGATCAGCTCTCCCCGCAACGCGCGGCCAAAAATCAGCGCCATTCGGACCTGACCAGGGCAATTCAGGGCATTTCACCTCGAAGCTATATTACGGGCTCCACCCACCTGCGTGACACTAATGCTCTTAGCTTCGCGAGGGCCCGGCTGAGAGGAGCCCGCTCGGTGTGCCTGTCGAGCGATTGGGTCGAGACATATCGCTACCATGTCGATCGCATTTGCCATAGCCCGGGGTTGCTGGAGACTACCTCGGGTCTTGGGCTGCTAGCTCTGTCCGGATGGGAAATGAGTCCGATGCATGTGCTTCTGGGCCAAGACACGCTGAGCTGACTACTGCTCTGCAGTCTGTCGATCGGACACCTAAACTCGGAATTTTGGTTATTCTGAGTGTCACCAGTCTTTCCCTCAAATATCGCCCCTCATCTTCAGCCAGCGAGACTCCGTCTTGACGACGCGTTTTGCCCGACTTGTCTACCACCATGCCCGTCCGCACCCTCTCACCAGATCGTGAAAAGTCCATTCTGCCCCTCTCAGTGGACCTCCGGAGCAAAGCCCGATGGCTCAGTGTGCTCCTGCCGTCCTTCCTGTGCTGGGGTGGGAGCAGCACTTCGTCGTCGGGGAAAGCCCGGCGGACAGCCTACCTAGACGGGCTGCGCGGGTTTGCAGCCTTCCTGGTGTATTGGGGGCATCATGAATTATGGGCACACGATGGCATGGGCGCTGAGCGGATCTTTGAGAATGCGTATGGTTACGAGAAGCAACACTTCCTGGTCGCATTCCCCGGAATTCGCACTTTCTTCTCCGGCGGACACTTTGCGGTCAGTGTGTTTTTCGTGCTATCGGGCTACGTGCTATCCGCCAAACCGCTGGCGCTGATCCAGGCGGGTGAATATCTCCAGCTGGGCGACAATCTGTCCTCTGCGCTATTCCGGCGATGGCTGCGTCTTCACCTCCCCGTTATCGCCACCACGTTCATCTATCTCACCTTCCTTCACCTCTTCCACATCCGCGCGACGCCGGAATTGAAGGGCACCTACGGTGAAGAAGTGTGGAACTGGTATATCGAGTTCAAGAACTTCAGTTTCATTTTCCGCGGGGGTGGTGAGCCATGGTTCACCTACAACTTCCACTCGTGGTCCATTCCCGTTGAATTCCGCGGATCCATCATTGTCTATACGGCCTTACTGGCGTTTTCCCGCCTTCGCCGGAACATGCGTCTGGCCGGTGAGGCCGGGCTGATCTTCTACTTTCTCTACATTGCCGATGGCTGGTTCGGGGCGCTGTTCATCTCGGGTATGCTGCTCTGCGACCTGGATCTGCTTGCAGCACGCGACAACCTTCCGGACATTTTCCTGATGCTGGGGCCGTTCCAGGAGGGAATCATCTACTTCCTTTTTGTCGTCAGCATCTACCTGGGCGGCGTGCCGTCTCGCACGTGGGATCTGCAGGCGTTGCGTGATTCCCCGGGCTGGTACTACCTGTCCTTCCTGAAGCCCCAAGCGGTGTTTGACTACAAGTGGTTTTATCTGTTCTGGGCGTCCACCTTCATAGTGACGGCGATCGGGCGGATCGGCTGGCTGAAGAGATTTTTCGAGCTTCGCTTCAACCAGTATCTGGGGCGGATATCCTTCGCCTTCTATCTAGTGCATGGACCGGTGTTGTGGGTGCTCGGGGATCGGCTGTATGCGGCGGTGGGTTGGGTGCGCGATTCGCATGCCACAAATTGTCCCGGGTGGATCGATCGCTTCCCGCTCCCCCGCACGGGGCCTCTGGGGTTGGAAGTCAGCTTTCTGGCTACTCACTTGATTCTGCTGCCGATGACTCTTTGGTTGGCGGAGATCGTAACCAAATTGATTGATGAGCCGAGTGTGCGATTGGCTCAGTGGCTGTATCGACAGGTCACGACGCGTAGATGATGCAGTTGCCAGGCATCTCCGAAATGAATGTCTCAGTTTTGCTTCTTCCGTTGGTGTAGACACTTTTCCCACTAGTGCACCGTAAGCTCACTTTAGATTATCTTTCCCTTTCCTGTGCTGGGAGTCCTGGAGTGGATTCGTTGGTCCCTGAGAGGTCCAAGCGACAGGGAGATACCGGTGGGGTTGCCGCTTCGGGACGAGAGACACAGTCCGGCTCGCCACTAAAAGTCAATAGTTCCAACCCGAGCACTGGCCGGCATCCAGTGGCTTCTAGACGGCTGGAACTAGCGCATCCTATCTGACCGTGTTGCTTGCTCATCACATGCTGAATCCCGAGTGAAAACAGCAATACGTCCGGATCGGCACGCCACTTACAGGCGGGGGATGCCGTCTTTTCCCTGTCTCGCTGCTGTACGCTGGAGGGCCTGGCTCGGATGCAACCCTAATTAATCGCGATATCGCTGTCTCCGATGCAGACATTAACGGCGGGCGCGATGGTCCCTCAACCAACACCCCTCCCCTCCCTTTCACAATCATGGTCTCCCGAATACTTCGCTTCGCACCTCTAGTCGCCCTCCTCATCCTCACCCTCAGCACCTTCTACTATCTCTATCGTGCCATCCACGTCGACACCCACCCAGATCTCGACCTGGGCCTGGAAACCGCCACCACCTCTGACCGCAAAACCCTCCCCGACCTCACCGTCAGCCAAATCATCGCCAACACCCACCATGAGATAGCATCCAACTCGACCCCGGACGGCCGATACTTCCGCATCGACTTCCGCTCCCGCCGCGGCATCAACCCCAGCATCATCCCGCACCCCACCAAACCCAACACCTGGATCATCACCGCGCAGCTTCACGAGCCCGGTCGTCGTGAGAAGGATAGCGCCTGGTTCGTCGAACTTGTCTGCGACGCCGTCTTCCAAGACAAGGGCCGCACCCTCCGCTGCATCGACTATCCCTTCATCCTCCCCATCGCCGCAACCGAGGGCAACAACGCCCTCTGCTCTGGCAGCCTCGCTTTCTTCGCCCTCAGCATCGGTCCTCACGATGCCCGCGTCTTCTACGGCCCGGACGCCCCATACACCATCTACGGCTCCAAGTCCGCCGTGACCTGCTTCGGCCAGTGGATTCTTGACTTCCGACTCCTCGTCGACTGGCCTGCTTCCGACACCATCACAGACTATGGCTTCCGTCGTGCCACGGAGCTGCAGCGCCCAGCAACGGGCCCTTACCTCGCCGTCGAGAAGAACTGGTTCCTCTTCTGGGACCGAGCCGGCAACGCCTACGCTCACTACGACGTGGCACCCACAAGAGCCTTCGCTGCCTTGACCCTGGACGGTTCCGTCGGCGCAGACCTCGCCCCAGCAGCGGCAAGCGCAGACGCAGCCTGTCTCCAAAAATATCTACCTCAGATGCAAGATCCCGACCACGAATCCATCCACCAAGCCACCAACTCCCTGGCTGTGACGTTGTGTATGCGTGCAGACCCGAACTGCCACCCAGACGACCACAATACTGTCATTTTGACGGTCTTCCAGCATAAGCGGTTCGTGGAGTTCCATAGTAGTTATGACCCGTACGTGATGCTGTTTTGGCAGAGGTCGCCGTTTGAAGTCTACGGGATTTCGGACATGCCGTTGTGGATTCACGGCCGGGGGATGATGGATGAGGGGAACCAGACGGAGATGATGTATGTTACATCGATCGGGTGGAAGACTGCTGGGCAGAAGTATCACGGGTATCTTGATGATGTGATGTTCTTGGCGTTTGGGGTAGAGGACGCGGATACCGCCGGGGTGGATGTGGTTGCGGGGGATTTGGTGGCTGGGGTGGGGAAGTGTTGATCCCCATCTTACTCAGATTATATTATAGAAGGGGAGTAGAGTAGAGTAGAGTGATGTGCTACGATGGCATTTCTTATGATTACTATGTTGAATGTGATGTTGTACGATACCTATCCTTTCCTTCCTTTCCCTCGGAGTAACATCTAGATTAGTTAATAGCTATGTGTGGAATTGACCCGTGATTTCCCCGCTCAGACCCCCAATGCAACCACAGCTTAAATTAACTTGGCAATCTCCGAACCCTCCGGTCAATACGTCGGGATACATATTAGGCACACATTAGCGTCGCTCAGGCCGCTTATCGACTTGTCTTGGTCAGCACTAACCTGGTCTTGGGCCGTGGAGCTCGTGCAGGTCAGGTGGTCAGACGTGCTTTTAGCTAACAGAAGTGGTCTGATTGCTCAGTGCAAGAGAAGCTTTCACATGTGATGTGAGGCTTACTTTGCTTCTTGTCCCGAGGAATGTGGAGTGGTTTGTTCCTTGCGCCAGGGTCTGTTGGACAGTGGCTTGGTACCCCGCTTTTTGGTTTTATTATCGGGGTTCTAAGTTTAGCCGTGGAGAGACGGTTGGGATTGTTCCTTGGCATAATGTATCCGGGATGGTTCCGGGGTGGTCTGGATCGGGTTGTCACTCAATGGCTTAGTTGTAATATTGGGTGATTGTCCAACAGGACTTGTTGTAAGACATGATTGACTGTTGGCTGTTGGCTTGATGAGATCATCTGTCTGAGCGAATACTAAATGCAGTCTTGGCGCTAGGGTGACCATGATATGCTGTCTTGGCGGAATCAGACGCCTTCAATAGTCAATATACATGATCTGTCTCGTGTTTGGAATAGGTTGGATGCGGGAAAACTTTGCTACATTTGCTCAAGAGCACAGTCCACGTCATACAAGTTAGTTATAGTATCTCTATCAGCATTCCGTAAGTTTTCAATGCCCTCAGTTCCTACTAGTCTTGCCAATACTGCTCTTCTTGATATTCGACAAAGTTTTAGACTACATCGCCCAGAATGCTTGATTTCGTGGCAAAGCTGATATTCACACTCGATATGGTGCTCAAATGCTATGTATCAGGTATCACTCCTATCACTACGGAGTGCATGCTCACTGGCGTTGCCAACACGTCTTATGAACATATATGTATTAGCCAATGATATGTAATACGTCACCTTATTGAGCGTTAGTCCAACAAAACTTCAAGGCCGAGCCATTGTTCCATCTACCAATAGCGGCCTGTTCCGTGCGCATGCAAGATGTATGCAGAGCAGAAAGATTTGGGACACTGGTGCAGATAGTATATATTCTGTTGTATGGGTAGCTCGGGCAGTAGCAGTCTCAGCATAAGTAACTGATCATTAGTCCATTTTGAGATGGTGCTGACTCTCAATGAGTGATGGACATGTCAAATTTAATTGCTATGAAATAAAGCACTTCGGATTCCTCATTATGGCTTTCACTGTCCGCAGACTATACAGTCTATACCTTGACCCTACATTTCAAGGTTCCGTCTTGTCACATGCACGTACATTGCGCATTATCCACAAGAAAGCCTCTCGAAACATCTATTTCCTCGGCGTGCTGTTCAGGAATCGATATATTTAGTCTATCAAGTAATTTGAGTAGTAGATAGAAGATGGATAACTTTATTATATACTTATTCTTTATTCTATATTGTTTACATCTAGGACTTCTAGACTGACTGGCCTATATTGCACTAAATATCCTCGTTGTTCTTGGTTTCTACTTTTGCCAGTAATTCTCTTTTCCATGTTCGACTCAACTAGTAACAAGTTACTCCATTGAAAATGATTTCTCTGAATTATCTGCCATCACGGTCGCCTTAAATGCCCCAAAAATTATACCGTGGCTTTTCGGATAGTACATACTTATATACCTTTTTTATCACACACATATATATTTGGCATGCAGCTGTTTTAAAAAGAACAGCCACCATATTTTTAGCCTTCTTAAGCATGATTGGAGGCGATGTTACCTGTAGTATATTAAGCTGCTCATCCGGCGCTGCACTGGACACTCCTGCTGAACGTAGTGCTGGCGCAATCCATAATGTGACGCCCCGGGTTTCGAAGATCTTCAAAGGAGGTGAGAGCTTGATTCCTTCGCGCAATCGGACAGAAAGAATTTCTACAGTCCTGACAGTCATAAGCAAGAAATGCAGCTGGTCAACCACTACCTATATACTCTGGAGTCATTCAAAACGCAGAGAATTTCTGATAGATAATACGTATTGGTAAAATATGTTCTGAGAAATGGTTTTCTCCGTATATCCGCATGCCTTACATGCGCGATTCGTCTTTTCTATGCAGTATTTTCCCACTTCCACTGTTGTTACCTGACCTGCGAAGAGGGTAGGGAATAGTTTAATTGCTTACGTAGGTGGCTTTGAAGTTAGGGTGCATTTTGTTTCTATACTACCCTTCATCCATGTTGCGAAAGGGCAGCTCTTGCAATGAAATCACCACTACCATCACCGAAAACGTCTGACCAGGCGGTAGTCTAGTGTACGTAAATAAGATTGATGATACCGTGATGTTCCACTCACTAACCTATCACGCTTTTACGACCGAAAGTAAATCGACAATTAGCTTATTGACTGGCATCTGAGCCGGATATATACGCGGTCTTCCATTTTCGGGTGGAGGGTGTCATCCACTTCCGAGCAATGTTGCATTCCAGCGTCGTCGGGAGAAACGTTTCTGGGGTTCGTTTACGGTTCGGGCTATCATTTACTATGTGTTCCACGTAAGATTGCTGCATTTATGTAGAGCTATATAGCTTCTCTAACCTACATATCTTTCTACCGCTTAATAGTCTGAATTGCATCCAGCCCAGGAAGGTTGTTTCAGTTGTCAAGGTGTGTTACTGAGAATTAGCAATATGCTAGCGAACCTAGGAGAAAGGCCTAGTCCAATGCAAAGTGCCGAATGGAGAGAACCTCTCACATGCAACCTTATTGATCGCAAGGTCCCGGAGCACAGCATCACCGAGGCAGCAGACGATGAAACCGATACATTGCTCAATCGTCGACAGGCTCAATTTGAGACTACTAAACGAGTTCTGGCCAGTGCAGTGAACGAAGGCCTGGCCAGCGCAACCATTGAAGAATCTATAGGTCCTAACTTGGTGTTGTGCATACGTGACCCAGCCGGAGTTGGAGAGTCTTGGATCAAATGTGGTCTCCGAGGGTCCGCCTACGTTGAGAAGAATGGTGCCAGAATCACTGGATTCGTACGTGCAGATGATCTACTTCCTCCAGTGCTCACCCAAGCAGGTGCAGGGGAGATATCAGAAGAACTAGACCCAGGTGCTATTTGTCGCATCATCTGCCTCTGGCAACCCGAACAATTTCCAAGTGCCGCCGTAGAGACACTTGTAAAGGAGGTCCGGAATTCTGCAGACAATCAAGGTGAGCCAGCAGCTCCTGCTTTAGGAGCCCGATTCTGAGACGAGATAGCGAAATGGTTGGAGATAGCCAGTACACAGCCGACGCTACATTTGAACTCTTCTTTGTACGATTGGGAGCAGTCAGTTGTGCTTGGACATCCAACGCATCCAGTGAGCTTTCCTACTACCTTTCTCGATTACAATCGCCGTAGTATTAACGCTATCAAGCTACACCGGGCATGTCTTGCTTACCCGCCTCTGAAACCCATCACACCTGACGATATTCCTGAGCTGCTCGAACCCGAACTATCGTTCATGTCTCTACCACAATCAGAAATGAAAGCCTTCGGGCCATTCTCCAGACTACTGAAGCCTCTCTTGGAGTCGTTGGGCATCCCTAACCCTGAGTCATCAGACAGAGTAGTAGTACCGTGCTTCACTCGTCAGCTTCCAAGTATCTTGCCGCACTTCCCTGATGCACGCCTGCTTGGATCTGTTAGAAAATGCTGCCGTGCACAGACTTCAATGCGCACTATCTCATTTCTCCCTGATGTGGGATCCCCTTTGCATCTGAAGCTCTCCTTGAATTGTCAAATCACATCTGGCCCAAGGACCATTACGCCATGGACTGCTGCTTTAAGCCCAGCACTCAGCACAGCGCTGAAATATTTGCTGCCGCCAGACTTATGGATTTTTGAAGATGCCGCTTCTATCACAGGCGGCCAGGATGATTTTGATAAAGCACGCCATTTGACATGCATTATACGGAAGAGCCCAGAAAAGCAAGCGGAAGAACTTGGAGAGACGATCATCCCGGTTGCCGGAATCTTCCAGAAACCGTACAAAGATGATCGGACATACATGGAGATCATGTTTGGTCTCGATGACTTAAAGCAAAAGCAAGCTTGGCTTAGAAAGTATTATCCTCAGCCCGTCTTGAGCCCGGATTAGCTTGCTTGGTGATCTAACGGAAGCCTTCTTCAATAGATATCTGGCAAAATTATTCTCTTTGCTTCTGCCGCCCCTGGTCCGTCACGGAATTGGCCTCGAAAGCCACGCCCAAAACGTCCTCGTCCGCGTCAATACTACCTCAAAAGAGATTACTGGGTTTGTTGTTAGAGATTTTGGTGGCATGAAAATACACTACCCTACATTTTCACGTACCAGAATTGATCTCAGTTCAATTCCCCCGGGCGCGAGTGCAATCGTCGACGACATACATAAAGTGTGGCACAAAGTCTACCATGCTCTGATTCAGATGCATGTGGGCCACCTCTTATATATGCTAGACTTGGAATCCCATGGAGGATGGCCCATTGTTCGCGAGGAGCTCGAGAGAGTACTGAACCCTTTGGGTGATCCAGATGGGAGGGCAGTGCATGAGGCCTTTACGAATAAGACTATGGCGTTTAAGTGTTTCATGGAGATGCGACTAAGGAATATTTATCGCGATGTGAGTCTATCTTTTTCTTTTCTACTTATTTATTTACGTTTTCTACCAAAAGCATGGGTTTCAAGGTTTAAACGGCTGATGGTGAATAGTATTATGAGAGAGAGCTGCCGAATGTTCTCCTCCGGGATATGCAGTCATAAGATGACATTCCGACGGCGAGTTCATTTTCAGTCAGCAAAGCAGAACCATGAGGCGCCTAGGATAACAGCAGTGGTCTTCGGACCCCCACTTCGCCGCATCCAACCCATACGAATGGCTATTGGACAAGAGACGCCACCGCCGCTTTCGCAATACTCATGCGCCCAAGCCACCTAGCAATTGATTGATATTATAGTCAAATAATGTAGTATTCTATATTAAATAGTTATCAAGGGCCAGATTCAAGTCTTCATCTACTGTGTATATCAGTAGAGCGCGCGTGATCTCCGATAATGGCATCGCTCGACGCGAGGTCAAATTGAGAAGGGATTTATCGAAGTACCCAACACTTTATAATGTATTGTAAGTGTTTCGAATACAGACCTCACTGAGTATGATTTTAATTGCTTTATTTTCAATTCTAGGTCTAGCCATACACTATCACGAAGACCGTATCATGGGTATCCTGCGCCATTGAATGCAAGTATCATCCGTTGGATGGCGTGATTTCTTGGTATAAGTACCCAAGTCATGAAAGCTTTTCCATATATAGCTTTTCCGCTTATTCCGAGCGAGCCTTTTGTGCTGTGAGTGAAGTTAAGAGGTATATCGCGACACAGTCGGACTGAGTGATCATGCTTCGGATCCCGGCACAGTGAACTGTGGAGCTGGTAGATGCGATTGGCCTGAAACATATACTCAACCTGTTCTAAGGCAGGTAGGTGACTCCAACTAACTGACAAATTCATCAATTCTTACCCTGTCCATGCCTCGGAAGACAGTTATGTTTATGTGCATTGCTAACATTCACAGCAGTGCGATGACTGGATGTCTGGCTGCCGTCATATTAGGTTCTACACTCTTCCACTAGATGACTTGCAATCTAAACAGCCTATATGACCTTAATACTCCAACTGACTTCATTCCATGAGAGAAAAGCTCACGGAGACTCTCCGGAGTAACTGCGCCGTCCTGTTTCACGTATCCGCTGCCAAGCATCCCCTCCCCAACGGCATCGCTGGCCATTCGGCATTTATCCGTGGCGTCCTATGGTACGTCTATCCATCGTTGCGTCACTGATTCATGCTGCTGCCAGGCATATGGCACCCCTATTCAACTTTTTTATCTGGAAGAGTCATGTCAAATGCAGGTAGCGCAGGAATACGTGAACTTTGATATAGCCTCACGGTGGAGCCATCAGACGATTTTGGCAGGCCGCCGGGCGGTGAAGAATCGAGACCCTGACAACGATCAAGATGAAACTCCAGTTCCATTAATCAGGGGAACTGCCCCATTAGGGTCTCACTTTCATCGAGAACAATGGCACCGGAAAAACTTAGGCCACACCCTTAATTCCCACAATGGTTCTCCTGGCGTAGCCTAGTCGGTCTCACCAGCCCTATATATCCCAACAGGTCGCCCCCCGGTTTTTGCAACAGCAGCAACATATTGCAGACAGCTTACCAACTATTGCCCGTCATGCGTGGCTCTTTCGCTCTTTCTATGCTCTCTGCGGCGCTGGGCGCCTCTGCTGCCCTTACTGAGTCCAACCTCAAAACCCATGTCGATGTGCTGGCACTCGACAGCTCCTTCAACCCCATCGAGGCGGCCTACTGGACTGACTACGTTCACCATCGTCGGACTCCCTTCGCTGTCTCCCCCGATGGAAAGACTGCCTATCTCGCCTACCTGGATGCCAGCGGGTCTGATGTCCACGTTACTGAGCTGGACCCGACAACCTTTGAGGCCACGGGAACCACCGTCACTGTTAGCGGTGGACAGGAAGGCATGCTGCCTTACTTACCTTCTAACCATTTTACACTCCGCTAACTCATCCCAGCCGGTGGCCTTGTCGCCCACAATGACGGCTTCGCCCTGTTGACCAACGAGGCTATGCCCTCCGGCACCACCAACGCTCCTCCCAGCGACACCCCCGTCCCCGTCCTCCACCGCTACACCAACGGCAAGCAAACCTGGAAGACCTGGCTCGGTGGCCCCGGCGTCCACTCCTCCGACGGTCTCTCCGCCTCCCCCGACCTGAACGGCGACCTGGTCTACTCTGAGTCCGCTGGCCTCTACGGCGCCTACTTCGTCGTGACCGACTACTCCGGCGACGCCTCCGGCCACTACGGCGATAGCATCGAATACGTGGCCGACAACGGCACGCTCGTGACCATCTCCGGCGCCTCCAGCTCTTGGGGCTGCAGCCACAACACCGGTATCGCCTTCGAGGCTGCCGACGAGCCTCCCTACGCCAGTATCTGCGCCGAAGATCAAGGCGCCATCTGGCTGAACACCAAGACCCAGGGAATGACCAACGACGGCGTCAAGATCTCCAACGAGAACACCACCAACGGTGCCTCCGGTGAGCCTATGGGCGGCATGGGTGGCAGCTACAGTGGTCTGGCCCGCTTCGCCGACAGCACTCGCTACATCTTCACCTGGGTCTCCCGCGGCGCTATTGATGTGACCGAGAACACCTGGATGGGCGACGGTTACACCCACGTCAATAACCGCACCAACCCCCGCAATGTCGCTCTCGCTCTGTTCACCGACAAGTACACCAAGGTCGGCAAGCAGGCTACCTCGACCGTCGGTGCCGAGGACGGCGACAGCCAGGTCACCTGGGTGACCTCGGGGTCCAACGACTGCTCCAACGCCCACGTCGCCACCTTCGGTAACTCCTCGGCCCTCATCACCTGGGAGGAGATCTCCGATCCCATCTGTGAATACACCGCCATGGGCTGCCGTGGACAGTTCGCCGGCACGTACTTCCAGCAGGTCGATTCTGAGGGCAACAAGGTCGGCGATGCCTTCAAGAGCACCGATGTCTATGTGTCCGGTGACATGGTCACCATGTCGGATGGCCGCATCTGCTGGCCGTATGTCAACATGGACTGGGATCTCTCCGAGGTCGTCTGGTCCGCCGATAGCTCCAAGTACACTAAGAAGATGAGTTTTGCTTGCATTGGCGGTAGCGGTAGCTCCTCGAACTCTACTACGTCCGCCTCTTCTACTGCCAAGGCTAGCAGCTCTGCTTCTGTCGCCGTTGTGAGCAGCGCTTCTGCGGCTGTGACTCACATTGCTGCTGGCGCGGCTACTGCGTCCGTGGAGCGTGAGACTGTTTCGGAGACGCCTGTTGTTCAGAGCAGCGTCGCCGCTGTCGCTGCGCAGGCTACCTCGGATGCTGTCTCTGCCCAGGTGCCTAGCTGGACTGTGGGTGGTGGTGAGGCCCGTCCTTCTACCTTCCAGACCCAGGTGCAGGTTCCTACCCAGGCTGCTCAGGCTGGATCGGACTGGGGCATTAACAAGGGGTTTGGCCAGGGATTCATTCAGGAAGACGGACAGGGCGAGGAGGAGCACGAGGGACACTGTCAGTTCTAAGCTGTGAGCAGGTTGAGTGAGTGTGACGGATGGTGGCGGATGGTCTTCGATAGTCCTAAATATCATCAATAGTGTAATCACACACCTCTTCCCTTGTTCACCATGCTCCTAACAAATTCCAAACATCATATTAAGATACACATTCTTCACAATATTAAATGTCCCAGATGGTGTTCATCTTATCAGTTAGCTGAGTACTTATACCAGACTCTGACAACAACACAACCCTCCTGCTAGAAATTTCATATCATTCTACCAACTCACATCCTCTCCAGCCCAAACCAAACACTACTGACCCCCAATCGACCCAAACCGCTCCAACACCTGCTCCCTCACCTCTTTCACAATGCTCTCCGCATCCTTAACCTCATGAACCAACCCAATCGACGCCCCCGCATACGTCGCCAGCCGTCCCTCCGGCCCCCACGCCTTATCCCCCTGCTTCGCAGCCTCATCATGCAGCACCTTCAACTCCTCAAACCCCTTCCCAGCCAGATGATCCACCCACGACCGATTAATAATCGTCCTGGGAGTATAGTCCTCCGGCCACCCAAACGTGCCCCGGAGATGATTATACAACAACGTCTTCATAGTACTCACAGCTCCATCTTCCGCCCGTACAACCTCCTGCTGATACCCATGCGCAATCCTCGTCTCATTCGCAGCCAGAAACCTCGTCCCCATCACCACCCCCGACGCCCCAAGACACAGCGCCGCCGCTGCACCCCGTCCATCAGCTATCCCGCCCGCAGCAAATAGGGGAATCTCACTCCCCGCAAACGCATCAGCCACTTCCGGGAGGAGAGAAATCAGACCCAACCCGTCTTTAGCCCGGCCGTGGCCGCCAGCTTCGGCGCCTTGGACGACGACCACGTCGGGTTTCTCTGTCGATTTCAAGATACTCCTAGCTTCGGATAAAGTCCCGATCTGGATCCAGATCTGGGTTCCCGGCGAGGCGGTGCGGATTCCACGGGACCAGGTGTCGAGGTCTGCTTGGCCGTTAGGCGGGGCGTAGAGCCATACCGCGCAGGGCTTGTATTTCTGGATGGTTGCGACGGCGGAGTCGAGGTCGTCGGCCCAGAGGAGAAAGCCCACGCCGATGGGGAGGTGCGGGGTTGGTGTTGGTGTTGTTTTGAGAGTAGATGAGGATATAAGGGATGATGCTTGCTCTAGATCTGCGGCTATGTTTGGGCTGGCGTTATTTATGAAGCCAAGGCCACCGGCGCGGGATACTGCCACAGCTAGGGCCGGGCCTGACATGACACGCATGGGAGCGCTGACGATCAGCGGGCTGGATGTCCATGGGTAGAGGCGGGAGAGAGCGGGTGCGAGGTGTTGTAGTCGAGACATTTTGGGTGTATTTGTGATGGTCTTTGATGTATAGATGTATTGATGGATAGACGATGATGATGATGATGATGATGATGATGATGATGGAAGTGGAGGGGGTGAGATGAGTTAGTTAACTATGGGGGCATCAAAGGTGGGGCTCGTGGGTTCCGTTGGTTGCCTGAGCGCGTATTGCGGGTGTTGCGGAGGACTGGCAGTCTGCATGCGGAAACATTTGCCGTGCTTATACAAGGATGATGGATATAGCTTATTTCGCTTAGATGTTGACATTTGTTGTCCTTCATAGCAGTATCCACCTGGAAAACATCTCCCTAACCAACTAATCAAAACTCATCCACGACAGCGCCCCTTCTACTCCCCAAATGACCAACTCCACACACATTATCCCACAACCGACACCACCCCTATCCCTACCCCCATAATATTCATCTACTCCCGCCCCTTTAATCCATACTCCTCCTCGGTAACCGCCTCATGCCACACCGTCTTCCCCAACCCAACAACAAAATGTGTCATCACACTCTCCTCATCCGCCCCATGCCAATGCGTCGTCCCCGCCGGCGCCCACACAACTCCCGTGTTCAAACGACGCGGAACTCCTCCCTTATCGCAGATCCACCCATTGCCCGCGACCACTTTGATCATCTGTCCGTTCTCGTGCGTGTGCCAGTGAGTACGTGCGCAGGGAGTGAAGGTCACGTTGGCGATGGAGGCGTCGCTGCCGAAGTGGATCGGGTCGAGGTAGACGTCGCCGGTGAAGGTGGCCGTGGGTTTGGCGCTTTTTGCGTCTGGTTTGTGGGCGGAGGGGATGATGATTGACTCGGGCATGGTTTAGATTTCTTATGTCTTGGAGCTTAGGAAAGATTTGTAGATGATGTGTAGCCGGATAGTGGTGGGATATGATGGTCTTAAGGACGTATTGAGATGGAGGTAGTGGAAGCGTAATTGCTGCTGGTGAGGGAAGAGGGGAATATGGATGGATCAATTTGGATATGGTTGCAGTTATATTTCTATGCTCGACTACCCTAAAGTGTATATACTGAAGTGTGTGTGAGCGTGTCAGCCAGGTGCCGCGGGGCTGCAGGCTGACAGGAGATCCACCTTTATCTCCGGACCTTTAGCTGGGGTACGGGTGTCAGCACCTCCGCATCAATGAATCAGCAGCAGCTTTTCATTGGAGTTTTCAGCCGGACCACAGTGGGGAAGGCTAGTAGTACCCTGCGATTATCGGTACAAGTGCTCAGGCCCTCCATTCAGGAGCATTGTCAGTTATCTCCGAGAGCGCATCTGTTATCCGGTCAGTCACATGATGAGGCAGAATGCTGAATATCCCAGATATATTTCTTACTTCTGAGGAGCATGTATGTATGGTGATAACATAGTGTCGAATATTACAGGCTCCCTCGAGCCTTGTATACGACGAGTAAACGCCAGTTCATCCCGACTTGTTTCCCCAGGCAGAAACATCCGGAGACATTCGAAGCATGTCCGGCTGCAAAAACTGGCTGAAGTCCAGACCCTGTAAGGTTGGTACATCAGCCACCAGCCCTTCTAACCAAGATACCTCATCAGAGGTTGGCATTTGTTGAAGTGGCGACTCTGTGGCAGGTGACTGCTGATATTCTTGCAGTACTGTACTCAACAGTCTAGTGTCCGCGCGTCTCCGCCGTTCATAAAGAAGGATCAGCAAACATGCTGTGTTGTACGCTTCTCTCATGGTCTCCGTGTCGTAGGTAGAGGCCACCACTCTCAGTGTCTGCATGGCTTCCGGCAGTAGCTCGAGTGCGGGGCTGGTGTCCATCTCAAGAATGATACTGATCATCTGAAACGGCACATTGGGTACATGATGCCATGGAGAGCAGTCGGCCACCATTTCACGTGCTGCGCTTAGACTGCGTCTGAGTAGGTCGAGGACTTTGGTCATTGTGGTCGGCGATGCCGTGAGGTTAGTCAACCGAAGGCGACGGAGAAGACAAAGGACCAGATTGCATTGGCACAGAAGAGAGGGTGGCTTGGTGTGAGTGCGGTCCAGCGTCTGGTATAGGAGCTCTTCAATTTCTTGATCTGGACGTTGGTTCTCCGGACCCAGGCTGGCGGTTACAGGTAGAAGACCGAGGAGCTCTGTGGTGAAATCGCCAGATCGCGATGATGGCAGTCCGAGTGTGTCACCCAGTGGGACTCGGGAAAGGCCCAGATCATAGGAGATCCAGAGATTCAAATGTTGAGCGACACCAATGAGTCTCCGTCGGATATCGATATCACGGTCGTCATCGGCCGACAACTGATGAAGCTTGGAAGCTTCAATCAAATGCATCAAGGTCGAGCTTGCCACCCAGGATGGATACGGAGGGGCAGTCATGCGCAGGTAAACCACACGCAGGGTCCATATGGTCACCAGGTGTAGTGAGGGACGGACACTGCCGATATGAGTCTCGGAGATCGAGCGCGCCAATTCGACCAGGTGAGACTCAGTGATGTTGATGTTGGTCCCTGAGAAGAGGCATCCCAGAGCGGCGACCCCAGCCAGAACGCCGTCATATGTACTCGCCACCGCGTTGGGCTGCCAGCGGCTGTCCATGCGGCGGAAGAAATCATTCGAATCAATAAATCCATAGCAGGGATCTATCTTGGCAAAATAGACATTGGCCAGAGTTCTCATCTGCATCAACGAGAGGATCTCGACAATAGGAAAGGCCGCGACCGGGGCGAGTCCGGTGGGGGACTTGCGCCTACCCACGTTCCAGCCAAAGAGGTTCAATTTGGGTGCATTGGCTGGGTCAACCTTGAGGCCTATTTTCCTCACAAAGGCCGCTCCCGAATTGGCCTCGAGGGTCTCCGTGAAGCGGCCCACCTGTCGGGGACTCGAATCGAGGATGGGTTCATTCTGGTCGTGGATGCTGCTTCCCCGGTCGGCGGGTTTGCCTCTCACGCGTCGCGGAGCCTGATAGTGACACTCATAGCCCCAGCTGGTGCACGTCGAGCAGGGAGATTCGCCATTACATTTCCTTTTTCGCTCTCGACAAGGTTCACAGGCTAGTCGAGCCCGCTTGCGCTTTGAGGCAGTTGTATCGCTCATGATGAATAGTTAGTTATCTTGAGGGCATACGAAGAGTGAACAGGAAAAGGAAAGGTAGCCAAGGGTCCTCGGTCGGGCGGCACGCGGTTTTCCGTCTGCTCCCGACCGGCAATTGGAAGAACAGCAACACCCAAATGCCAATGATCTCATAGAAGAGAAAACAATTATTCTAGACACTAATCATAAACGAGACATTATATACACAGGGATTCGTATAAACAGTATGAAATCCTGGACGCCGTTCGACATCCGGGAACAATGGTCTGTAGGATCGCAGAACAGGGCAGGCAGCCAGGGTCCCAAGCACAAGCTGTAGCCCTCCCCCCCATAACCAGCTAGAGAATCTTAATTGATCCCTACCGCGATTGTGCTTACCACGATATCCCCACACACGCCCCAGTGATGATTGAGGCCTCATCTTTTGATGAAACGTTTCCGGCGCACCCCGTACGGCCACAGATTGGCATGCCTACTGCAAGATCCAGCCAGATCGGGCCTTGTTTCTTGACCCTGCGCTCCTGGCTCTTCATCAATTTTCAGTTAGGAGTCACTGGATCAATCTCAAGCGTGGACAAGCAACTGTCTCGTACGCTATAAAGCCTTCCACGACCGGAATCAAGCGCCACAGTACCAGTGTAGAGGAGTGGTGAATACAAACCTCTTCCATCCTACCCGCAATACCCTCAGAGTCGCTGCAGAACTCACCGGCTATTTTGCCTGCCTTCCCCTCTCAACCTGGGTCCATATGCTCGGAATAGGAACGGAATAGGGATCATGATCGCCGACAGACATCCCAGCAGTGTTCCCGCCCACTGCACCCCCAGGTTTGCGAACATCTGCTTCGAGAAAAGTGGGAAACCTGCCGCAACGCTGGATCGGAGGATGATATTTGCAGCCACGGTAGAGGCAGCCCTATACTGCGTCAGTATCACACTCTTCTTCCATCACGACGCAGACCACACCTACACGGGAAGAAAAGAATCGACTAAATAATTGAAGCAGGGTAGGAAAATGCAGAGGATTCCAAATCCGATCAGTACACCTGCCGCCGTGGGAGCCATCCAGTGAATGCTGGCGGTAAAGCCAGTCCAGCTGAACCTGTAGCAACAATTAGCAACAATTTCAATGGAAGAAGCTCTGGGCTGGCTCACCAGAAGATGCCGGCCGTGAACACAGGGGCCCCAATTACAACAGTTTCCAAACGCCATTCGGGTACGGGAACGTTGTTGTTGGCGGCCAGTTTCTTCACATAGGCGGACTGCTGCGAGAGAATGAATCCACAAGCTGCGAGCTGCCCAATAATAATGCCAATAAAGGGAAGGCTATTGATCCCCATGCTCATGCCATAAACGGACTCAAAAACATACGGGTACGCTTCAAGAAGCGCATACACAATCCCATAGATGAAGGACATATAGAGGGAGATAACCAAAATGATAGGCTCAGTTACCAGCATACGCAGCGGACGGGTGAAATATTTCTGAATCAGCTGCTGTATGTCCACCTCGACCTCCTCCTGTTTAGCATGGATACCCCAATTACCAGTTAGCCGCCGTAGAATGGCTGCTTTCGACAGGAGAAGGCAAGACGCGTAGGTCTCTCTCAAGAAGAACACGCTGATAGCACCCCAAGCAAAGCCAACAAACGCCGGAATATACAGGGTCCACCGCCATCCGAGCGAGCTGGCAGTGATGAAGCCCCCAATAAAGGGGGCACTCAACGGACCCACGAACACGAAGAGCGCATACACGGAAATAGCCGCCCCGCGGTGCGAATTGTTCCAAATGTCCGAGAGCACAGCAGGAACCACCGCGAGTGGGCTGGCCCCAAACATCCCCGCAAAGAAGCGACAAATAATGAGCGTCTGGATGTCTTTGGACACGGCGGATGCAATGGTGAACACGGCACCTCCGAGCAAGCCCAGTGTCAATGGCCATCGTCTTCCAAACAGCTCCGAAGCGGGGGCCCAGAGGACAGGACCGGAGGCGAATCCTAAAACGAAGAGGGTTGTACCGAGGATGCCAACTTCAGATCCTACATTGAAAGCCTTGGCTGCTTCTTCGGCGCCGGGTGCGAAGATTCCACTGGCGAATGAAGGGATAAACGTGGCAAAGCAGGCTATCGTCGAGATGAGGAGTCTAGAATGAAGGAAGTAAGCGAGAGCCCGGTGAGTACTGAGTACAGGAGTAGCATACTTGGTAGAAAGTGGCCAATTGAAAGGATATTCTGGATCGTCGGGGCCATCGAAGTCGACGACATAGTCTTCCCGATTCGGCAGGGCAGGAGGAAAGACTTTGCCCTGTCCCATGGACGGAAGCTGCCCCGGGCATTTTTCAACATCAGCCTGATTGGGATCAACAGTCAGTTACCCATCCTGCAATATGTAGGAAGAACTTTGTGTTAATCCGTCACCTCTAGTGTTTGGGAGATCTGGCTGCTGGTTTCACTGTCTCGCAGGTTACTCATGGTGATGACGGCCGCCGAGAGCACTGATTCGGTGACATAGAGTGTGCCTGCGTGAGAGTGGAATCCATCTAGCTGTCTAGCCTCCAAATATATATGCCTATGTGCAATGAAAACTCTTTCTTTCACAATAGATAAGACTGCCTCTCAACAGATACTTCAAATGAGTACCAGGTCTCTTCCACCAATGAAAAGGAGTCCGCGGAGTTAGCGGGTATTGCGGGCGGACAACGACACATCGGTCAGCATTCACGCTGACACTCGCAACATTACTAACTCTCCAGATAGACCATTCATTCACTGCTGCAGCTCCTCAGCTAATGGTCGCTTCGCGTTTTATGCTGGTATAAGACCGAGCGGCTTCACACTGCACAGTTTAACGCTCCTTTATGACGGGATTTGGCATTCTACATGGTGAGTGGTTTCTGTGTTCTCCATCCCTCATTAGCTCACGAGTCCTGCGACTTGAATTTATGAATCTTAGGCAATCTGATACCTCCAGTCCTGTGTCTCTGTTCAAAGCATGATTTGCCTTGTCGAAGGTGATGCCCAACTACTACTTAGCAACCCCGGACTGACCCGCCGAGGGGACCCGTCGGTTGGACCCGAGGTTCTCAGCAACCAATCCAATCCGTGCAGCAGCCCTGCGAAAGACGTCAGATCTTCCATCTTGCAGCTTAGCTCGGATGACTCATATTCAGTCTGTTGGGTTCAATTTGACCACTGATTCAGATTCACCTGAAATTGAGGTCGAAACTGGTAGAAGTCTTCTAGGAGTCCGCAAGTTCCTTGCAATACTTCACCAATGGCCGCCTCGATTACCGCCCGCAGCGCTGCGTCCGAAGATGAGATCAATCTATCCAGCACAATGCCTCGCCTGACAACCATGTCCGTAACTGAGGACCATTTAGCGCAAAACTCGACTTGGTAAGCTACCGATACCCTTATGAAATACTGTCGAAGGCTGATCATACTCCTGTTCGGTCAGGAAATCCGCCATCATCGTGGCCGCCTCCTTTGTCATCATCTTCACCTGCTGTGGTCTCAACTTCGCCTGGGGTGTTTATCAAGCCCTGTACGAGAGTCTCGCACGAAAGCCCGGAACACCTTTCACCGGAGCATCCCCGGCAGAGATCGATCTGATCGGTACTATTTCCGTCTCCCTCATGACCATCGGAGGTCCTTTCGCGGTCGCTTGGGCCAAGCGCTTCTCGCCTCGCATGGTATCCTTTGCGGGAGGCTTTGTCTTTGGGCTTTCTCTCATCTTAGCCAGCTTCGGCACAGCGTTGTGGCATTTTGAGCTGACGCAAGGGTTGCTGAACGGAATCGGTACCTGCTTGTGCTACATGATACCCGTCACCATTGCCCCTACGTGGTTTACCCATAACCGAGGTCTAGCAATGGGCATCATCTTATCAGGCACTGGTGTGGGCGGTCTGGTGTGGGCGCCCGCGTTGAATGCATGCGTTAACGCCCTCGGATTTCGCAACACCCTGCGTCTGACGGGTGGTCTGTCGTTCGCGCTGGTCGCAATCGCCAGTGGTGCGATGGCCTGGGAGCCAGCCAGTCAGCGTCGTATCGCCATCGAAAACGCCTCGAGGACAAGCCGTGCGGATGGTATTTTGAAGGTGCCACTGGTGGACTGGCGCGTTGCCCGGACGCGTCGTTTCATGGCTCAGGCATTAGGGGCCATCTTCCAGGCGGCTGCCTATTACACGCCGGTCTTTTTCTATGCCTCGTATGCGCAATCCCTTGGATACAGTAACACAGCCAGCTCGAACTTCATTGCCCTCAGTAATGCCTGTAACGCGGTGGGCAAGATTGTCATTGGCCATGTCGCGGATCGCCTTGGTCGGTTGAATGCTCTTCTGCTCACCACCTGTCTCAGTGCAATCGCTACTGTTGCCTTCTGGTTACCATCCACATTAACCGGTCAGACGACGCAATCGCAGGGTCTGTTTATCACTTTCACCATTCTGTATGGTACCTTTGCCAGTGCATATGTGTCTCTCTTCCCGACTAGTCTTGTCGAGCTATTTGGGGTGCAGAATTTTGCCTCCGTCAATGGGGTCCTGTACATGGTTCGTGGCATGGCCACTATGGTTGGTACCCCAGTTGGGGGTGTCTTGGTCAGAAGTGCGGCGAATGCTCTCACTCCGAAGGCATACGAGAACATGTCGGTGCTGGTCAGTGCTCTTCTGTTTGCTGCCACAGCTGCAATAGTCTGGGTGCGTTTGGAGGCAATGATTGGGCCTGATGGACATCTCCTTTGGAAATGGCGACAGTAGGAGTAGTATTCTATGCGTACAAATCGGGTTTCTAGGAGACAGAAGCCCACTGCAGAGCCAGTGACAACGTTCGGGGGTACTAGACACTATATGTATCCGAACCCATAATGTATTACAAGAACAATCTCAACTCAGAGGAAATCTGACGAATCACCGACAATTCGTTCCCTTCCTGCATGGTCTCCTCATCATCTTTTATTACGATTTACCCACTCCTGTAAGTGGCTTGGCTTCTTCGTGCCCACGGCATAGTCACTGTGGCAGAGTCTGGATCTTCAGCACTACTAGAGTAGGCTGCCACGAGCGTAGAGCAATTGCTGCAGGAAGTTGCGTGCTGGAAGGTCCAAACGACCCCAACTACTCCACCTTGGCAGGAATGCCCGATATCGCTCGGCAAGTTCGGCTTATCACCCGATGGACTGATAACGATAAGAGATCAAGATGGATTTGACTCGAGTTGAAGAAACACAGGCTGACTGCCAAGATCAATAATCTGATCCATATCAGATTCACGCATATGAGGGGTCAAGCCAAGAATCGGAGATTACCGCCTCTTTCCGATGACGCCAATCAGGACCAATAGTGTCGGTGTGGATAGTAAGTAAGTAAGTATATATGCACCCCAGTGGGCTGCCCTCGGCATCCTCTTTGTCGCATCCTCTTCAGCTGGCTCGTCTTCAAATCATGGTGCGCGCTACCCAACTGGCTGTGGCGGCCCTGGGGCTGCTTGGTGCAGCGGCCGCTCAACTGGTGTCAACAGGCATGTCTGTCACGCTCGACCAGATCGATTACTTCGTCTCTCCATACCCAGCGGGAAATGTGACGGTGTCCGCAGCCTCCCTGACAGATATCCCCAGCGTCAATGGCTTCTACCCCGTGACTGTTGTTCAAGAGGAGATGGCTGGGGTATTATCACTGTCCTCTCTTTTCTCTACGTGGACGGATGTGGATGATGTGTTTACGCCCGCCTTCCTGGGTGTGGTCTTGGTCCGTGGCTACAAACCCGACAATGTCACTGCAACCTTTTTCAACAGTTCGCGCTCCAGCGTTCTCGGCCCGTTAGAGTCCAGGGTAGTTCCGTCAGGCCCATACTTCCTCGAACAGGCCACTGGAAAGCTCTATCCGGTCTACCGTCTCTACAGCGACTATGCAGGAGCCTTCACGCAGCCACTACTACAAAAGCCAGATGGCACATTCCAGCCGTTGTCGGCACAAGTGGCCGGTCTGGTCTCATCCACTATCGGTGTGCCCTCTCGCATCTACTATACCCCGAGCGATGAGAAACCGCTGGCCGGGGCTCGTGTTGGCGTTAAGGACATTTACAGTCTCGCTGGCGTGCGGCAGAGCAATGGAAACCGGGCATGGTACAATCTGTACGGAGAGAACAATGTCACTGGCACCGCCGTCTCGCGCCTGATTGATGCAGGCGCCATCATTGTCGGACTGCAGAAGCCCTCACAGTTTGCGAACGGAGAAACGGCTACAGCTGACTGGGTCGACCTTCACCCGCCCTTCAACCCACGTGGAGATGGTTACCAGGACCCTTCTTCCTCCTCGTCAGGCGCGGGAGCTTCCATCGGCTCTTACGAATGGCTGGACCTGGCTCTGGGTAGTGACACCGGCGGCTCTATCCGCAATCCCGCCGAAGTCCAGGGAGTCTACGGTTCCCGTCCATCCCACGGTCTCGTTGAACTTGACCATGTCATGTCCATGTCGCCTGTGTTGGACACTGCGGGAGTGCTGTCAAGGGATCCTTATCTTTGGGACCGGGCCAACCAAGCCTTGTACAGCACCAACTACACCTCGTTCTATGGCAAATCAGTCCGCTACCCCAGCAAGCTGTACACCATCGACTTCCCGACAACCAATGACTCTGCGGCAGACGCTCTGCTGGCTGGATTTCAAAAGCGCCTGGCCGCGTTCTTGAATACGACAGCCACCCCGCTGGATCTATCTGATGACTGGTCGTCGCGTCCGCCATCCAGCGCTCCCGCCAATGTCTCGCTTGAGACTTTGCTTAACCTGACCTACCCAATGCTGATCACCAAGCAGCAGATCCCTCTAGTTAGGGATCCTTTCTACGCGGACTATGCTGGTACGTCTGGCCTAAGCCTTCCATATACAGCATCCGACTGACATATACACAGCTAAACACGACGGCCGAGTCCCCTTCGTCGACCCCGTTCCTCTGTCACGGTGGAACTGGTCCATGGCGTACCCTGACTCTGCACTGGATGAAGCCATCCACAACAAGGCGCTCTTCATGGACTGGATCGCGGAGAATTATCTCACTCCGATCTCCGATCCTGAGCAGTGCTCCTCGTCACTTATTGTCTACGTGGGCACCGATGGCTCCCAGAGAGCACGTAATGTCTATCGTTCGCTCCCCGGCGCACCCTCGGGGTACAGCAAATTCCTCATCTCCAATATGGCGAGTGTGCCGGACTTTGTCATTCCCGTTGGGGAGATTGAGGCCTACAGCACCATCACGCAGCACCAGGAGAAGTTTCCTGTCGCCATTGATGTTTTGGCTGCTAAGGGGTGTGACGGATTGCTAGTCAGGCTGGCTCAGGATTTATTCGAGGCTGGCATCATTAGTGCACCGTTGGCGGGTGGGACGCTGACTGGTGGGCCAGTCTTATCTTGATGCATAGTGCTTTCCTTCAGAGGTAATACTTCGAGGACGGCTATGAAGCATATGCCGCATACGATTGGTATTTGACGATATTTGTCATGCTATACATGAAATTTACATATTGTATATAGTGTCATGGATTTGAATGAAGACATATCGATGTATCTTAATAGCAGGTCAATTGATGACGCTCTTGTTGCTCCGACGAAAAGCGACTGCATCGGGCCGATGCGGGTCCAGGGTCGTCCTTATCAACGCCCCGTCAGCACTAACAGTTGACATGTTTCTCCAGGTCGGCTAGAACCGCCTTTTCGCGAGAAACGCGTGCTATCGCGAGTGCAGGGCAATTGTTGCCTATCAGTAGCTAAAGCCTGAGTTCCGTGATCTTCACTTCTTCTTCCCTGCTCCCAACCCATTACTCTGCACTCCACGCCCAAATGCGTTTCCTAAGCAGTGCAGCCCTATTCGGCCTGGCGTATGCCTCCACCCAGGCGGTCCTCCAGCCAGAGGAACCATCAGACTTCCGTACCTTCCACAGCCCATATTCCCCGCACCACTCGATCCGCATCCGCCAGCAGAATGAATCAATCTGCGCTGCCCATTCCGCCCAATACACCGGCTGGCTCGACATCGGCCGTAAACATCTCTTCTTCTGGTACTTTGAGAGCCAGAATGACCCTGCCAATGATCCTCTCACTCTCTGGATGACAGGAGGCCCAGGGGGGTCCAGCATGATCGGTCTGTTTGAAGAAGTCGGGCCATGTCTGATCAATGAGTACGGCAATGGCACTTACCACAATCCGTGGGGCTGGTCCCGGAACTCCTCCCTACTATTTGTCGATCAGCCAGTCGATGTGGGATTTTCGTACGTCGATGAAGGAGAGGACTTACCGGGCGATTCGCATCAAGCTGCAATTGACATGCATCGGTTCTTGCAGTTGTTTGTCTCGGAGGTTTTCCCGCAATTGCAGACTCTCCCGGTTCATCTTTCTGGGGAATCGTATGCTGTATGTATCTTCTCTAGGACACCTGAGCTAAGACTAACTTCCACAGGGTCACTATGTCCCTTACCTCGGCAGTCAGATCGTCCAACAGAACAAGCTCTATCCCACTGAGCCCCAGGTCCTTCTGCATTCATGTCTCGTAGGCAACGGCTACTATTCTCCTCGCGACACTACCTACGGCTACTGGGAAACCCTCTGCACCACTAACCCTGGAGTCCCCGAGCCCGTCTTCAATCAGACTAGATGCGACATCATGGCGGCCAATATGCCGCGATGCATGGAAGTATCCGACGTATGTGTTCGGAACCCTGATCCGGCCATCTGCCATGCTGCGTCGGAGGTATGCTACGAGGGCGTGATCGGATGGTATGATGACGAGTCTGGTGAAGGTGGTCGGAATAGGTTTGATAGTGAGCTTTGCCCCATCCAGTTGTCCCCTGTCAGCAAATCTCTGCAATTTACTGATATGCAACAGTAACTGCTCCCTGCGCCCTTGACGGCATATGCTACATCGAGGCCGCTCGCATCGAGCAGTACCTGAACACACCCGCAGTTTGGGCTGCTCTATCACCACCCAAAGAAATCAAAGAGTACAAGGTTACTTCCGACAATGTGTCGCGCGCATTCGATCTCACTTCAGACACGATGACGCCAGCGTCTGAGCAAGTCGCGTTCCTGCTTGCGAATCAGGTACATTTCCTCGCGTACCAGGGCAATCTCGATCTGGCGTGTAATACGGCGGGGAATCTGCGCTGGGCGCATTCTCTGCCATGGAGGGGTCAGGTCGAGTTCGCGTCGAAGGCGCTGCGGCCATGGAGCTGGGTAGATGTGGTATCTGGAAAAAGTGGAGTGGCTGGAACGACGAAGGAGGTGAGAGTGAAGGTTAGTGAGAGTACGGATAAGGAGTCGAGGTTTGCGCTAGTTACGGTTGATGGGGCGGGTCATTTTGTGAGTATCCCTTGCGCCTTGTAGGTTTCAAGTATGCGGGTTACTAATGGCATATTGCAACATTTACAGCTTCCTCAAGATAGACCTGATATCGCATTGGATATGATGGTGCGTTGGATATCCGGGGCATCGTTTACTGAGTGAAGCATGCACGTCGCAGACGATGGGATACCGTCATATTTTACCAGTCCGGTATAATATATGTTTTATAGCTGTCTTCAGCAGCACTTACAATATGCTGCTGCCTTTTCTGGTTTGGGTATAATCATGGTTTAACACCATCAACTGCTTCGGCAGAGATGGATGAGCTTGATTTCGCACCCGCAGCAGCGATGGATTTCCGTCTAACCGAGCGAACGGTAGCGGACACTAACACTGATTGTATTTACAACCCTGTTTCTTTCCTCTTGATTTGAGACAAAAGTATGTAAGCTACCCTAAAGTAGGCGAGGTAGAATACGGTTGTCATCTACTTCTAATGAATTGCATAATGTAAGCGACTATTGGCCGCTGCCTTGCCCCAGTTAGTTAGTAGTAGTGGGTGCCGAAGTCAGCACACTTTTTTCGGCCCTCCTGACTCGATATTTCTTTTTCTGCATTGTCCAGTCAGACCTTGCCACACCCCTGCCTCATTTCAGATTCTGCAAGCACTCAGCCCTTTCTGCAGGGCAATGTCTTCTGATTGGTTGCACATCATCGATGCGTCCACGAATCTGTTGAACCCAAGAGTGATGTCATATCTGACGAGTCGTATATCGGGGTTCAGTGGTGGTCGGCATATGATATGTTCTTTCACAAGTACAATATCGCTGAGTGGCTGATGCACAGGTGACCGATGGAGGGGCTGCGATGAAGGATCAAAAGCGACTATAATACTGAACATGGGCAAGATGGGTCTGTTCTTGCTAGTAATATGAGCAAAGGGCGCATAATAGTCCTGAGCTTCATAATGTTAGTTCTTTCAAGGGTAAATTGAGACTTGTGGTATATAGCTGTGCCAATTATGTCGAGTTGATTAGGAATAGGGGCGCACAACTCGTATTACAAAACGGAAGTGGACTGCTAAGTGGCTGGAGAAAAACTAGAGAGGCCTAGATTGAGCTATGCATGCGTCCCCGTTAGCTTCGATCGTGGCCGCGATCACCGTGTATTATCCCGCTAACTCCATGCATCACCTGCCCAGGTCATCGATGGGGCATATTCTCCACCTGAGCATCGGTCATATCCGATCACTGACTTCCATAATTAGCAGAAAAAACTGGATCCTGGACAGCGAAAGAAATAGGCAGTAAGCCTATCGCATATTCTTTGCTTTATTAAGCAAAAGCTCGGGCTGGGAATGTTGGTACCTAGGCAGATCCAATTCAATCGACACCGGTAAGATAAGGCTGAGCTAGCACTGCGAGGTATTTACTCATGCGACCCTTACCGATCGCTGATGCAGGTGACGCCTGTGGCGGTTCGTCAGGGGCTGCTGTGCAACGTGAAAACAAAGCAAGCAGATCCTTCTTCTGTAAGCTACATATACCCTGGACATAATGCCTTTGTTGGATCAAGCGTTGAAGCTCTATAACACGATCTTACTATGTCTTTGTTTTCTGTCGATCCTAGCCATAATTCAAGATGCTGAACTACTCCAAGATCGCCGCAAATATTGTGCTGCGGTTCATCAAGGCTATTTTTGATCTTGTCTCATTCAGTGCCTATGTTGTACAACTCACCATTCGTGACCTGATTTTGACTGTGTGTTCTGAGTCCCCATCCCCATTATAAGAGCTTTGAACTTATCTGGAGTTCATTAGGCCACGAACCCTTTTCTCCCTAATCGTCCAGTCGGGAACGTTATACCTCGTGGATATCCAGGCCATGGAGGGACTTGGCCAGAGTACACGGCCCCTAAGCGAGGAGAGGATTCTCGCTCGCCTTGTCCAGGGTAGTTCTCATTTTACCTTTCTTTCACGAATAGTAGTTGACTCTAATTCTCTCATAGGCTTAATGCGTTAGCTAATCACGGTACGTAAGCCTGTTCTTCGATAGAGCTGTTTACAGTTAACATACCAAAGGGATCCTGCCGAACAATGGCAAACGTATTACCTACACACAATTATCGCACGCGATCCAACATGCATACAACCTTGCACCAACTCTAGCGAGTCAACTTACATCTGCAGCCAAGCAGCTGGATCAAGGTCGGGGCTGGATTGACCTGCATGATCTCAACGTCTTAAACGTGCGTATATTCAAGAATCTGGCTCAAAGTTTGGGAGGCGCTACCGCCACCCTGAAGTTTCTGTTTATTCTCGCTGCCAAGTATCTTTTCTGGGCGAGCACTTGAAGCAGGTATTGATATATTGAATTCAGGTTGTCCAACATGACGCCTCATTTACCCGTCCTGATATTGCATTCTGCCCGGACCAAAGCATCCCGCACACCGGCCTCATTAATAGATTACTTGACCACGCGTCGGATGGGAATCACCTCTCGCTGACCGACTTTTCCTACTACTCTGGTCTTCGCCGCGCAGAGTGTAAGCGGAATAATGGCCAGTACACCCTATCGGGGAGTTTTATCCACAAGATGATCGGTATGTTTCTCCTGGTGTGGCGGTAGCGTCTCCCTTAGGATGAGTATGCCACTATGCTAATTGAGATATCACAGGTTCCGGAACCAGTGCCCTGATGTATTCAATCTTTGGCGGGGATATCGAGGCACTACGTGTCTGGCTTGTGGACGAGCGATTCATGGATGGTTGGGAACCGCGAACTAGAGAGGCCCTCGGCCATACAGTTGCCGTAAGTGTATTCTTTACTTGATGTTTTTGACCTGGTAATTCTGACATGGTATATAGCAAGCTTTGGCCACCTCTCTTGCCGTTGAGTTTAGCATTGATGAGAAGCAAGCGCTGCGGGAGGGAGATGTCTTCTACCACGAGTGAAATAAGGTGTACAGCTACCAGTTCACTGCCTTCTCTTCTATCTCCTATCCATTATTCTTTGTGTACTTGATTGTTAGTCAGATTAGCGTCTAATTTCCGAATGGGCGATATCGATTATATCAAAAGATAGACTACGTGGACCTGTTGCTAGATGACAATGAGAATAGGGATCAGCATGGCGTCCATCATATAGACTGGCACGCATCTACATTACAACTCCCACAGAGCTGCCACCATCTCCTTCAAGTGAAAGCCATCATGCACACAGTACATGCACGAGGTGAAGATGCCCTAAAGTATGACCATTATAGACACTGTAGCCTCACGAGAGCTTCGCGCTGGGCCCGCCCTTACCACGACGAGCATTCACCGGCTTCAAGACTTTATACCAATTCTCTTCGACCACCAGATGACTCTTCCCCTTCTGGGCCTCCTCCCACTCCCGCTCCACGCGACGGAATCGATCCATTTCCTCCCGCAACCAAGCTGCACACGGGTCCACCACGGCCTTGACCTCCTGAAACGGCATCAGATGGCCCAATCCAGGCAATGTAACCTCTTTGACCCTCCCCTCAGACAGTCCCCCACTCCCACCGACCCCTGTTCCACACCGCTGGATGGCAAGGCGCATCTCATCGAGATTCAGATAGGTCGATCCGCCCACGACCCAGAGGCAGGAGGGGCGGAGAGTGGGGAGGCGGAAAAAGGTACTGCGGGGTTCGGGACGGTAGAGGGGAATAAAGGCAGCCGCGGGGTCCAGGTCGGCATGGGTATCGCGAGGGATCTCAATCACCCCGGTGGTCGGGTTGCGGGCGCTGAAGTTCTGTCGGATCTGACCGAGGAGGTCTTGATGTTTGGTGGTGGTCAGAGTGACTGGAGTGGTGTTGGTGGTGGTGCCAAACTTCGCCTTCACCGCCTCCACGTCCGGGTACAGCCGCGTCGGTAATTCTCGGAAACCGTGCTTCGCCATCAATTCCACACATCGGGGATCCCATCCGTGCATAAACTTGCGGTTGGCTTGTACGGCTGCCTCGCGGCTGGGCCATACGTCCGAGCGTCGGAGAGTGTAGTTCGGTGCTCCCGGAGGGTCAGTGCCGAAGCCCATAGCTGGCGGGCTTAGCTGGATGACGGGGTCCACGAGGAGAATGGTTGTGAATAAGCGCGGATGGAGAAAGGCCAGGTTCGTGCTGAAAGGGATGGTCAGTGCTCGCTGCTGCTGGTATTGCTAGGGGTCGAAGGGTCCATTTCAAGCACGTACATGATGTTTCCGCCCATGCTGTGACCGATCCCCACGAGCGGACGGGGCATCTGGTCGCGGAAATGGTTGATCATCAGGAACAGGTCCCGCGCATGATCCATCCAAGAACCTAGGCGTGGAGAAAAGATGATTGTAATTAGCATTGATATGGTCTAGGAAGTCATTATGGTTGGTGATTTAACATACAGTCCATGCTGAGTTTATCTTCATTCAAGACCCCGCTAGTATTCATACTGGCACAGTCGGCCACCCAGATGCTGCGAATATGAAAGCCAGTGGCTTGGTTCAGCAACTCATCCCACAGCGGCTCATACAACTCCTATAATCTCCCATCAGTTGAATCACATTCATGCGTTGATGGGAAAACTGGGTGAGGAAGACCGTGTTACCTTGGGAAGTGCAGCCCCATGAGCAGCGATGATAGTGATGGCGTCGGCGGGAACGGGTTCGGCCTGGTTCTTGGGAGTATACTGCTTGACATGGAGATTCAGTATGTCTTCCTGATGAACAGTGCTTCCCGGATATTCTCGAATGTGGCAGCCGGGAACGGCATGCTCCGTGACGCTGAAGTTTTCGCTCGACATTACGATGGGTGATTTGTGGGGACAGAAAGGAGTAGAGTGTGCTGGGTTTGAGCGCAGTAAACAACACGCAATTGACCTATATACCCTGTCAGGGAGAAGCGACCAACTGTCAGCACTTGTCCTGAAACGGTAATCCCCGTGGGGCTGACTGCAGGCATCTCTCAGTTAGCTCATACACTAACTGGATAGATCGTACGCTACTTCTGTCGGATATTATGATCTCCATACGAATAAGTCCATCGACTACTGCTATCGTCCTGAGGGGCACGCACAGTGCTTAGAGATATATTAACTAACCATACCCTTTGCTGAGTTATACACCCACAAGTTGCGCCCAACCGGAGATCAAGCCGGTATTGAACGTCGAAGGGTTGATGCAGATGGCCTGAATAGACGGCATGGAGACGATGTGGATGGTCAGTCTCGATGAAAGGACCGATATTTTGAAGCGGCTAGGATTGGAAGAAAAGCTGCGTGGATCCTGACTCGATGGCATTGTCACAATGCTCTAGACGAAGACAAGGACTTGAAGCTGAAGAAACTACAGGTACCAGATGATCTAAGGTCCAGGGATATAACATCTGCAGCAAGCTAAGATAAGAACTCTTTTGCCAAAAAGAAAAAAAAAAAAAAAAAAAAAAAAAAAAAAAAAAAAAAAAAAAAAAAAAAAAAAAAAAAAAAAA